TCAGAATACTTTTAATTTTAGTATTTTCAATTTGCGCTTTTAAATATTTCTGTTTTTATTATTGTGAATTTACTTGTAATCTAAACATTTTTGTCCTCCAGCTGGAGGCTCTCTTCCCTACAGTATCCAGACAGCTCAGAAACAACTTTGGCTCCATTCTTACTTTCAGTAAGTTCTACCAAAGCAAAATTCAGTCCTGCTGTTAGGGCGCAGCAGTAATCAGTCACTTCTAGTGTGCAAGTATGATTGCAGTCTCCAGCCCTTTTTTTTTTTTTGTTTATTGTCACATCTGTTTTTAACACAGAATCTTTCAGGTTGATCACAAATCAGAACAAATCAGTAAATAAAAGCAAAAAAACAAACTCAGCTCAGAAGAATCAGAGAAGTTCAGGAGCACCAGAAGGAAAGCAAATAGTGCGGCTGATTCCAAATAACTCACTGCACATACCAGTTTAAATAAACAGTTGAGTTGGACTATTGAATTATCTAAGATTATTAGCTTGTATCTAATTTCAGTGTGCATATGGGACCACAATTTATTACTGTAGCACAAACATAACAGATGGCAACTAAAGTGTTGAAGAACATCGGGGAGAAATTAAAACAGATGAACTGACTGAGGTGCTTAAAAACAGTTTTAATAATGTAACATTACTAAACGCTTTAAACAAATGAGAAACATTTAAACCCAATATTTGATCTGAAGAGGTGGTCAATACTGCACATAAATCATAATCTCGAAGTTGGGGCTAGTCTGAAATTTGGTAGTGGAAAAGTTTTTTAGTTGAGATTTTAATGAGGTGGAAAGCCTGAAGTCTGGAAGTTTCAGAGCTGCTGCTGAGCAGCTGTACTTTAAGAGCAGTGATCAGCTAACACAGCTAAATGACCAGAGTTATAATGGTTTTTCAGGTCTAGCAGAAACACTGGGATTTGCCTATTGAGGCAATTATTGAGATATGAGAAAATGTATTTAGATTAGCCATAACGTAACATTCCCAAAAACAGGAAAAACATTGAACTGATGGCCACATATGGTTTGCTCTGTTATCTTCTGGGTTATATTTGACATCCAGGTGTCCGAGTTATTCCATGCATGAGGTGGGCCGTAACTAGGCCTTGACTTTTGCTTTTTGCGTTCTCTGTATGTTTTGGAACAGCGGTCCCCAACCTTTTTTGTGCCACAAACCAGTTTATGTCCAACAATATGGATATATACAACAAAATAAAACCAGTTCCTGCACCCAAAAAAGTTTGGTACAGTTTGCACACATCTTTTAAGTGATCCGCGGATTCTTGTGTGTGGTTGTTTTTAGCCGCTGGAAGGCAGAAGCAACGGGGAGGAGTCACGCCATGCCACATATCAAGACATACATGAGGGCATCTCAAGATTACTCTCAGCTTGCCTGGTTCCTTGTCACAAGGTTTGTGTTAGTGTGTGTCTTTGCATCTGTTCTTTTATTTCTCATATAGCATTTACTGCTAAAACAGGCAGAATTACATTTTCATGCTAGACTAGAAATACGCTTTTCTTGTGGGTTGCAGAATTAAGAGTTGTATGCGTTTATAGTTATCTTTTCCTGTGTTTATATAAATAGTAATACAACGATGTGGTTGATAAAATTAGTTGTTCTGTTTTCTATAATCAGTGATAGCATATTCTTGTGTAATGGTTGCATCTTGTGTTGTATCATTGTATTTGCCATTAGTCTGATCATTTCCTGGTCGCCTGAGCTGTAATAAAAAGTTTCACTTTGTCTCTTTGGTGGGTTTCAGTGCGAATCTCTCCAAGGCAGCATGGGGTGCGCTAGAGAAGAACAACACTCAGATGATGGTGCGTTCATATGAGCTGGGAGTCCTCTATCTGCCGTCCGCCTTTGTAAGAGCAACATACAATTTAATTGTGAAGAAAAAAATTTCTATTACCTTTTATCATTATTATAAAAGACCCGATGTGTAGTTACATGATGGATGTCTCCCTACAGGGCATGAAGACATTCTCTGTTGACAAAAATCCATTTCCGGTCTCTGCGTCCTTCTCGGGTTTCCCAGTGCCGTTCGATCTCCCCCCTACATCCTACACTACTAAAGGTATTGGGTGTTTTCTTGCTTTGGAACTAGACTCCAGGAACTGTAGTTTTCAATACTTCAACGTTGACTTATTATTATTTTTTTTTTAGTCCTAGAGGTTTTTGCGTGTTTTCATCCACATTAATAGTTTCTGAAAACCCTATCAGTGTGGATCTAGCACCCACCAGTCCTGACTCTATGTCCTGCATAATGTTCCTTTTTATCTGGTAAATCAAAGTATCAACACTTTGAATTTTACTTCACTCTTTTCCTTCTTTGCTCTCAGATCAGCCTTGGATCTGGAACATTCCTTACAGCCAGGCTCCCGACACACACGGCAACATCTGGGTTCCCTCCTGATCACACGCACACACGTCTCATTTGAAAGTCTGCTGTCTGTACCTGTTAGTTACTGTGTTTAGTTGTTAGTGGTATTAACATTTTTCTGAATACTTTTATACTGTACCATATACTCATATGATTTCTACCAATAAATAAAATATTGTTAGATTTGTGTATTTGCAATGTCAGTTGTTGTTTTTCAGCATTAGAATAAGATTTAAACATAAGAGGTTGCACTCAAATAGCTTGAGTTATAAATCTTCATATGTAATTCCAATTTAGAATCCCAGGAGAGGTCTGATGTGGTCTTATTTTGGCATAATGGGGGAGGTTCTGTGTAAATTTACTTAATTTAAAGTGACAGCTCTGTATGAAACATCCCTTTTAAGTGAAACCTGTTGCACAGATTCATAAATGTTCACGATATAAGCTTGTTTGCTTCTTAATATCATAAAGGATAAAGCTTGTATAGGATTTGGGGAGAACATTAATGGCTCATTTTTTTGTTTTTAATCGCCGATCTGCACGCATTCCTATTTTTGGTGGTCGGGATTTACAGCACTTTGTGTTTTTTTTTACTATCAGGTTAATGATTATATCCGTATATGTACCCCTTGGGGTAAATTAATTACTGATTAAGCAGTTTGAAAGAGCCACAACCACGTTTTCTCTCTTTAACTTGGGTAAGTTCATCTCAGCAAGATGGCTTTTTTTTTTTACGTACGCTCACTACATATTTACACTGGTTAGAATTAAACATATTTACCAGAAACCTCAAATTAGCACCTATACAAATACAGTATGTTTTTTCCCTAGATCTTTAAAAACCCAGGGTGTATTAAAAAGCAACTATTCATTGCTGCCTGAATACCCTTTTTTTCTTAATCTAGCTTCAACTGCTCTTTCCAACATCGTCTCATCATCTTCATCCCACAGTAAATACTACAGCTTTGCACATCTTCTCCTCTCCATTCCTGGGGAAGAAGTGTCTTGGGGAGTAAGGCATCTCCTCACTCTCCAAGATTGCGTTAAGTGATCTAGTCAAAGATGTCTGCTCTCTCTTCAAGACATCTCAATACCTCCACAGGTATGTCACCTGGACCAAGTGCCTTTCTACTCTTCATCCTCTTAATATCTGCCCTTCTTTCTAATTCTCTATAATTCCTGATCCTTTGTCCAGGCTTCTCTTTCTCGATTTCTTCATTCATAAGCTCCTCAGAGTACTCCTTCCATCTTCTCAAGACGCGCTCTCCATTTGTTAGTACATTTCCATCTCTATTAGGCTGCACATCCTTTCCAATTCAATCTTTCTGCTTAGTCTGTAGATCCATGTTCTTTATATTTGTTATATTTGTAGTTTCCTAAACGAGTTAATGCGTACGCTACACCTGTAAATTCACACAATGAGCATCTGGTCTGAATTAGGAGTTAAATTAGGATTCGGTGTATAAAAAGTTATTTTACAGCTTAGAAATAATTGCAATTGGGAATGTAAACATTGGGATGTACTCCCTAGTGTGTAAACAGAACAAGAAGCAAGATTATACTTTCAGCTTCTACTGGGTTTCAAATTTCTTCTTCATTTTTTGTCTGCTTCCTTTAGGGGTCGCCACAGTGGATCAGCTACCTCCACCCTATCCCTAGCATTCTCCTCTGTCACATCAGACTACATCCTTTACTACATCCATGAACCTGCCCTCTAGTCATCCTCTTTTCTTTCTCCTGCTGCCTGGCAGCTCCACCTTCAACATCTCTTATAACCAGTTTATTCACTCTTCCTGCTCTGCGCATGTTCAAGGCATCTCAGCCTTGCCTCTTTAACTTTGTCTCCAAGCAGCTCAACCTGTCAGTCTGACATACTCATTTCTAATTTTGTCCCTCCCGATCACGCCAAGGGAAAACCTTAGCATCTTCAACTCCTGCCACCTCCTGTCTTTTGTTAGTGGTACTGTCTCCAAACCATACATCATAGCAGCTCTCATTACCAACTTGTAAACCTTCCCTTTCACTCTTGCTGTTATTCTTCTGTCACACCCACTCCACCCTGCCTGCACTCTCTTCTTCACCTATCTTGTGGATTATCTGTTGCTTTGTGTTGCTTGGTTTTATGTTTAGAAAGATTAATAAAGGTACTGGTTAAACTACATAACATAGGGGGAAATATAGCATAACTTCTCACCCGTGTGAAGGTGAACAAGAACAAATGTGAGTGCAGTTCTTAAATAAGGTGTGAGACATACTGCAATGGGAAGGGAAAGGGGAGGGAGGGAAAGCAAAGAAATGCAGTGTGAGAAAAAAGGAATCTAAAACTACACAAACAGCAATGAAAATTAATACATTTAGTGAGCATAAAAAAAGTAGAACAAATGGGTAAACTGGCTCTGAACCTGTTTAGAAGTATAACCAAAAATATATGTCAGACCAAATTATTAGAAACATCCCACAGCACTGCTTCCAAGCAACAGCCCTCTGCCACTGTACTGAATCATAACTGCAGCCAGGTGTCTCTAATAAACTGGCAACTCTATTTACTGTACGTTCAGTAAACTGCGACTCCCGTCGTTCTTTGCGTCGGTGTGTCAACATGGCGCCTGTCTGCCGGACAAAAGGCGAATCTGTCTGACGGCGGATTGAAGCCCAATTAGAAGCAGAGGAGACATTTTGGGAAAACTGTCAGTGTCTGTGTGTCCCTGCGCCCCGAGGCGATAGATATATGGTAAAACAAACATCCGCGGAGGCTCTTGGACTGGAATAATAAGGTAAGTTAAGTCCTCCAGCTCCAACTACTGCTGTCTTCAAACGGTCCTGCCAGGAGCCCGATGCATTTCCTTTTTTCTGTCTGATAACTGCAAACTCCTTAAAAAATCCCCAGTGCCACCGCAGCGGTGTTTTCCCGCGGCGGTTAAGTTTCACACTATCAAAACTGATATTAGCGGTTTTGTCTGAAAAATAACGACTCGGGCTCTCATTCGGCGGGTGTGTAGTTCTCCAAGAGTCACTTAATAAAAAATAATGTCAACTTTTCCAGTTGCTGTACAATGCTCGCTAATGCGGTGCACTATGTATTCCAGCAGAGCGTCGTAATTACGCTGAATAATGAAAGTCATAATAATTGCCCTATTCTACTGTGTTTACTAGGAGTTAGTTTATAAGATGTATGCCGAATTCATGTATTGTTATCCATTATATGTAAAACGTATTAGGACATTTTCTATCGAGAAGTCAGTGTTTTCCTCGAAGCAGGAGGAAAATAAAATCCAGTTTTCTTTAACGCGATTCGGCGTTGAAGTTGACGATCTAAAGACGGACCTCTGCATCGGATTTACCTTATAACATCTGGTGACAACAGTCGACTAGTTTGTCTTGCGTTTCAGGTTTAGAGTCCAGTTAAAAAGTTTCCTACTGTAATTTAAGGACTTTGTGCATGTGCACAGCTGGCACATGTCTGCTACCAGTTCATGCCACGTCTGGATAGGACTTTAAGTAGGTCACTGGGTTCAGGAATGGTAATAGCTTTCCTAATGTCTTTGACTTTATTTGCTCTACTTGAAGAAAGAAAAGTCATAACCCACAGTGTGAAGTTTTGTTTTTGGTTTTTTTCAGGGAGACAGCTGGATTTATTTATTTATTTTTGACTGATTATTAGTTAAAAAGATCTGTAGAGTAAAGTTTAATGCCCCAAAGAGACAGGTATCCTACAGTCTCAAGAGGGAAACGTTCAAATTTTTTTTTAAGAAATAGCAGATGGAATCAGTAAGAATATGAATTCATTCTCTGAAGCTAAGTTTGGAGAGAGAGAGCAAACCTTCACCTTGGAGGTAGCATTTGCAACTCAAAGGATGCTAAGGGTTCAAAATGGTCCGTAACATTTGTTCCAGATGCTGAAGGTCACTAAGGGTGACACCAGCAATCTTGGAGCACACCTTGACAGATTTGCCACGCTTGCTTCTGTTTTTAACACAAGGAGAGTGGCAAATTATAGATGATGAAAACGAGGAACTTCCTTAAAAAGAGCAACCGTTGATTTCCCTTTTTTTTTGTTTTTTTACATACAGCATGAATCAATCATATTAGGCACTGTTCTTGTCTGCACCTCAAAAAGGAAGTGTGTGCATATGTGTGTTTTCATGTACTCCATACAGTGCTTAGCAGGCATGAGCCAGTGCCAAATACTATTCAATTATCGGTAAATCTGTCTGTGCTTGCACACATATCCTGTTATTTATCTGCTGGTTTTGTGACAAAGACTATCAAAGCTACACACATCCATTTAAAAGCTAGACAGAGGGATATTATTTTACTGACATTGTGGCATCTTATGAAGGGCGTTTCTCTGATTTTGTTTAAATGGGGTGGCACAAAAGAAGAACAAGGCAGGAGGGGCCCACAGAAAATCAGAATATTTGATAAAAAGTAAATACAGTGCGGGAACTTGGTGCAGAAAACACTGGGAAAGATTTTTCAGTGTTTCAATGGGCGTTGTTTTGTATTAAACCGACCCTTTATTTAAGTAGGGTTATGAGTATTATTTAAGTAACACAAAGGTATTAAAGGTTTACCATCAAAATATACCGGCAGAATCGTAGACGCTATATTATCACATTACAATTATTGATTCTTTGATGTGTATATAATTTTAATGCTTTAGCTGGAGATGCTTTTAAATACTTTATATGCCACTGAGTAGCTTTATCGATAATAATACAGCATAATATCACGTAATTTATATTTTTAAAAGCTCCAGAATATTAAGTAATGCAGCTTTAAAATAAATTGTATGGAGTACAAAATGTGGCAAAGAGCATCATATTGAGTAGAAGCGCAAAAAATACTTAAAGTACAAGTACATTAAAATCCACTTCAGTAAAGTGCTAGTGTACATTTACTGGATACATCTGCTATTTCCTTATTTTAACAATGATTACAACTGTTGAAGATTACATTTGGACTGCTTTAACAAGGTACCTTGTCTGTCTGTGCTTTATCTGTGTTATCCTTTTACCAAAGTTAGTGTGGTTGCCAGACGGTGTTAACATTTTAATGGCAAACCTCAGCTGGCTGGATGAAAACCTGATATGGAAGCTACAGTTTCAAATACAGCGAATAAATGTTGGTTTCCTGCCTTAATATGGTTTACTGTTAGTGTTCTCTGCTGAAAGGAAAGGTGGATTTTTGGTGGCATTCACTCATGTCTGCTAGGCATTGTTAATTGACCTCTATCTGATTACTTTCTCATTTGCCTCCTCATCACATGTTGTCACATGTTTAAAATTCTGTCTGTCTGTTCCTGACTTTGCAGAGAAGTAATACAACAAGTAGAAAAAAATCTGTGTTAGCTAAAACTTTTTGTGAGGTTTCTTTTTTTTTTTTTAAACCTCTTAAAGTCCCGCTGGCAACCAGTGATCAGGTTAGGGTTTGATTCAGAGCTGCTCTTTGCATTTTGTAACTTTAATTAGAAAAGAAAAGCTATAGTCAATGCAAGAGTCTTCTATTCTTCCTGAAATTATGCTTCTTTGTTATGTAACTAAAATGCAATGCCAACCCTGGTGCTGCACCTGAGCAGTTCACTGTTGACCCGCTGGATGTTAAGAGAGGTTCAGTTTGAGACTTTAAAGCCAGACTTTGATGAGTTCTTCTAGTTTGCACTTACGGTACATGAAATCTTTGAAAATGCCTTGACTGGATCTTTCTTTGTTTAAAAGTGGAATAAATATAAAAATCTAAAGTCAGTCCTTGGCTTCATTTTTTTGGTAATCTTCCATTGTTAATGTTAATCTTAGGTTACAAACTGAGGTTGAATCTCCAGAATGTGAAGGTTCAGATGTTTTTAGTTAGAAGCTTCTTCAACCTTTTTCTTTTAAAGCTGTTTTAGTCAGCATGTCTTCCTCGGTTGGACCCCACGTCTCCTCCAGTTTCATGTGGATTAGTGATATTACACCTAAAAATTTTTCACTCTTAAATGCTGGACTTTATCTGTCCTTAATTGTCCTTTCTCACATGGGGCACGTGGCACTATATAGTTGCTCCAGAAGCGTTGTCACTACTGGCAGTCCTGGTTCAGGTGAGGGTGATGCCTGGGTGGAGCGTGTAGGAGGGCGCCCACTCGCTCTCTCCAAATTCTCCAGACAATTACTCTTTTTAATTTCTCATACAGGCGCAATGGGATGTCGCAAGGACTTTGCACTAGGGAGCTGGCAAGTTAAAGAGTTTTTAATGCTCAATTTGATTGAGTCGGACATTTACGTTCTCACTTACAGCTCCGCTGAGTAATGAGGAGAACAAGTGCAGCGCTGCAGTGAATGTGTGAAAGACAGTTCCCCTCAAAATAAACATCTATTTTTAGTATGCACAAAGATCAACTGATTTACCAGTGGTACTTGGTGTTAAGGCATATTGTAAAGAATACAGATGTTTCCTTTTGTGTTGAATTTGTGTTAGAAGTAAAAAAAAAAAAAAAAAAAAACAGCCAAGTAAAGCAAACAGACTGTGAAACAACTGAAGATATGTTTGATTTTTGAATACGCATAACAAAATGTTGCACAGGTGATCGCGATCAGTGATTATCAAATTAAATGAAGTATATAAATAGTTTAGATAATCATTTTTGTGGTAACGTTTTCTTTATTGATCTTGTGTATCAGTCTAACTTCAGTATGAGTCATCCTCTGCAGCAGGGAGGGAAAGTATGAAGCTTTGCTGCCTGAAATGTAAATTTTTCTTGGCATTCTTCCCAAGATGCAAACACACACTCACCCGCAACCTCCCTCTCTTATATCTGTACGTGTTGATATGCCTGCTGACTTTGATTTTCTGCTGTGGCCTGTTTTTCTTCTCTGCGCCAGAAAGAAAAGCACTGAGACAGATGTTTTATCTCTTATTTCTCTGTTTATCTTCCTCGCTTGCTCTCCCGCTTTCCTCCCTCGGTTCAGCCTTGTGACTGTTATGACAGTTTTTTTCAGAAGTGACAAATTCACTGTGCAGTTATAGATAAGAATTAAAATTTAATGCGCCAGGGCTGCATTGAGGGGGGAATGCATTTGATTTAAAAATCATACAATAGCACACAGTGAATTGGGTGAATAACATATTTGTGTAACTTTAAAATGATTAGAGGAACCAAAAGCTCATCAGCTGTAATAAAATGCTTATTAAATGTGTAGGAATGCGCTTCATATCTGGACAGCAGCTGCTGAGTGGTGACGTCTTACTGTGTGTGTGTGTGCGTGTGTGTGTGTGTGTGTGTGTGTGTGTTGTAAATCTGCAGGCAGGAAGTTACCAGATGTGACTATACTGGCATTTTTTTTCTGTGATTCTTTCAGATGTGAAGCTCATTGTGCAGGAAAAAGTCTGCAATGAGCTAAAAACTAGTGATTTTCATTTTGTTTCATAAAACTTGCACTATTTATGGAAAGCATTTATTTTTCTGACTAGTCATTTCAAGGTATGCATTTTTTAAACACCTCTAAAGTGTTTAGTTCTGTTGTCAGTACATAGAAGCACTACGCATGCCTGCATTGCAAACACTTCACAGCAGTCATGAGGATAGTGTTACTGTGCAGTGGGCACTGATTACTGTCAGCTAGAGGTGGGCGATATAGCCTCAAAATTATGTCACAATATTTCGTGAAAATGTGCAATAATGGTGTTTTTCATCATGTTAAAAAATACTGAACAGTGTTTTGTTGATGCTTGTAGCTTGCTGGCAACAGCATATAGAAGTGTACCCAAATAAAGGGCGTTTTCAATCTCTCTTATCCAGTGAGCTGCTATCACTGATGACACACTACCTAATCCAAAGTGTGAATCTATTGAAGCAAGCTACCAGCAGCAGCAGGGCATTATAGTGCAATAGTGATGACACAGCATTATATGCAGTGACATGGCATAAGTCAAATGTAAGCCAGTGTTTTTTCTTTTCTTTTTTAGTGTTTTCTCTGGAGATTTTAAATATAAACTAAATGCTTAACACTTTAGTTTAACCAGAACTGCATCAGTTATTTCCATCTGCCATTTGCTCTTCCCGTCATATGGAGTTCAACTGGCAATGCTTGGTTAATTCATTTGTTTACATTTGGATTGCACATCACGGACTACCAGCATCTCTCCTTCCTAGACTGGTTGTTTGTTTGTTGTTTTCACCTTCAGCTGAAACAGTTTTCTTGCTTTTGTTGGAGGTTGTTGAAATAAGGGACTGTAAATGCATGGCGTTGCTATAGCAAAGGTATTGCAATATGACACTTTTATATTATGTTAAAATTTATACCAGTGTTAGCTCAGACAACTCTACTAAACAGTTTTAAAATAATCTCGTACAGGATGTTCCAGCAGTGTGAGGAGCCTCGCTTCACCATCGAGCAAATTGACCTCCTCCAGAGGCTACGGAGGACGGGCATCACCCAGGCAGAGGTTCTCCATGCTCTGGACACCCTGGATCACCTGGATCGGCAGCATGGGCACAAGTTGACCCATAAACCTTCCTATATGCCACCTTCGTCTTCCAGCACTGTCGCCGCCTCTTCTTCCATGACTTCTACCGCCACTCAGACAAGTTTTCCCAACAACCGCCTCTCATTGTCCCCTAATAACAACTTTGACACCACCTCCCCACCTCTGCCTGTTCCGGTAGCCTCACCTAATACCATAACAGCAGTAGTGCCAAACGGTTTGGTTGCCGTTACCAATGGGAAGCTTTCACCACCCCGGTTTCCTCTTGGGGTGGTTAGCGCTACTGTAACCACACCAGGGTATGCGTTTGAAGCTAGTGAAGAGGACATAGACGTTGATGAAAAGGTGGAGGACTTGATGAGGTAAGAACAGCCCTTTAAATGGCAGGTAAAACGAGGGCACACCAGCTAAGAGCAGATTAGATGTTCTAGAAAGTTATTTTGGAGGTTGTTTTTCAGGGTGTGCATTCAGACAACAAGATTAGGAAACAGCTTTTTTTTATTGTTTTAATTTGTATTAAATGTTGACTACAAGAGACAGCAATGATTTTATTTCCCTTTACAGGACTCACAAAGGTGATATTTCTGGTTTATTGGAAGGGTTAGTTTGAATGAAAGACTTCAAGGCTGAGGAGAAACTGACTAGTTTGCCAGATCTACATCTAGCAATCATAAAGCACAGCAGACAAGTGCTTTGTCAAGTGTTTTAGTCTGGTACTCCATGCCGTAAATGCCAGTAGACCAGCCTTCCCTTGATTCAATAATATAACACCTAGAAATTTTTTTTTTTTTATAAAATAGTTTTACCGGTATTTTTGAAATACATACATGTAATACTTGCATGTACACTCAATTGGAAAAGTCAGCATAGGAGGAACCTGCATGTATGATATTTTGATAGTCAGCCCTGGTAATGAGTGACGGAAAAGGGACTCTTGCCAACCAACTGCATTTAGTGCTACAAAGATTATAACACTATTTTCTTTAGTTTACTGCAAAAACAATAATAATTTGGAATTCAGATAGGTGCATGTTGCTTTTAAAGACACATGTACAGTAATTTGCAGCAGCAGAGGGTATGTGTTAATACAGAGGGTCCTGATTCCTGACAAGGCTGCTTGTAGCTCACTCTGAATATGAATATGATGCGATGATTGCTGCCAAACAAATACTCACACATACAAAATGAACACAAGTACACACATCCAGTCTAGTGCCTCTCATCTGTAGTCTGCAGCCAGACGGCAGCAATCAGCAGTATTGATTTGAAGATGTGTGAAAATGAAATCAAAGGAGAAGGAGAGCAAGGAATATTACAGCAGCACACATTCAGGTACAACAGCCTGTAATGTATATTTGAACTGCAGACAGTTATATCTGGTATAAGAATAGTGATTGTTGTGTTGCCGTGTGTTAATTAATATCAGGCTTGTAATGTTGAAAATTTAAATGTGTTGTACCTTTTTCTTCTCCCTTCTTGTAGGAGGGACAGTGCTGTGATCAAGGAAGAGATTAAATCCTTCCTGGCGAACCGACGTATATCCCAGGCTGTGGTTGCTCAGGTAACAGGTGAGTATAAATTGAATCTGTTTGGTAAAACACAAGCAGAAATGTTGGTGTGTGAACAAGCACCAGACCCCCACAAGTGTGACTCTGGTCCCGCTCCTCCAGGGATCAGTCAGAGCCGGATCTCCCACTGGCTCCTACAGCAGGGATCGGACCTCAGCGAGCAGAAGAAGCGAGCGTTCTTCCGCTGGTACCAGCTGGAGAAGACCAATCCTGGTAACAACTAATTTCTCCAACAGCTCCACATTTCTCATAAAACTTTTCTGTAACTTTTCCACCTGTGGAAAAAATACTGTAAAATAAAACAGTAGGAGGGAGTTTTTTAATAACTAGTGTGCTGCTTTGAGTGTGTGACTCACTGTGTTGTCTTTTTTTTTTTTTTTTTTTATAGCAAGAGCGAAAGATTTTTTTTAATTTTTTTTAGGCTTAATCAGAATCAGAGATGTTTAGACACGAGTCAACAACTAATATTGAATATTTAAAATTACAAAAGAAGCTTACAGCCTGTAATAGATCAATAATAAATAATAAGACTTTGGATTAAAAGGTTCACAGCAAAAACAAAAAAATTGACAAATACAATTAATTGAGAGACAAAACTGGTAAAGACAGAAGACGACAAATTTAAATTGAACAATTACTAAAGCATTCACTCTAAAGGGAGCATTGTAATGAATTCCAGGTGGTCTAAGCATAGAAGAGTTCTGCCAAGCTCAGACAGCTTGTGGGACTTGCATTGATAGATAGTATCCGTGTAAATTCTTTTGTAAGAAAAGAAAACTTGTTTTTTTTGTTGTTGTTTTTTTACATTTTAGGAATCTTGAGAAGGCTACAGTTATGGAAACAAAGTGTGGAATAAACAATGGCTACATTGTGTTAAACATGGGATCAGCATATTGGAATGTACAGAATGGAAAAACAGTGGAGTCTACTTCTAGTTAGCACGTGACCTCCCTATAGGGAAAACAAACTGTCGTGGTGCTTCTTCCAGATATTATGACTCTTATCTGCCTTATTAGCTTGTTACTCTATAAAGTACTGATTCCCAGTCGGTCTGAAAAAAAATACAACTTAAGAATTAAGAATGTAGTTGACCTGTCCCTGAAAGCAGGTTCAACAAACGGTTTCTGGTCATCATCACCCAACTTGAATTTTCATTGGATGAAACTGGAATTTTACATTTGACTTTTATATCAAGTTTTTCTTACCTAATCTAATCAGGTGTAACCTGACAGGGATAAAATGTCTGTGACAGAAACTGGAGATAAAATTCTGGGAAAATGGACACTGGTTACTTATTTGCCTGTGCTATTAGTTACACAGTAAAGCAACAGACTCTGGCACATTTCCGCCGTCAAAAGGAAGTTTTTATTAAATGAAATTAAATTAAATGTTTTTTGAATAGTTTCTGACCAGCAGTGGGCTGAAACAAAGTTATGTTTTATGGTGGAGTTCATTATTTCTGCCATTACTGGGTAAGAAATGCCTAATAAGATTTACAAAAAGTCTTCTTTAATGTTTTTCAGTATAAGCATTTATAATTTGGGCACTCTTACAACCATAGCAGAGATCTTTGTAAGGAGTTACAATTACTAAGTGTTAAGCGATAGTAGCTGTTTCAAGTTATAACATATGTTAACATTAATGTAAACATATTAAAAGAAATGTGTAAGTTATATAGAGCTATCTACATGCTAATCAGCTAGATTTGAGATATTTCAAACAGATGCAGATCAGATGACTGGATCTAAATTGGATACAGATCCTGGAGCGGCTTGAATCCATGATCCTCTCTGCAGCTGCATATTGAAAAATAAATGCTTTAAAATATATTTAGTTCAGAATGTTAAAGTCCTTTCAGCCTCGTCTAAGTTAGAAATTAGTTATTCACATCATCACCACCTCTGACTGACATTTTTCTATCAATGTGACCAACTATGACATATAAGTTAGTGATCATTAATCAGTGTATTATGTGTCTAAAGATTTATACAGAGACAAAAGTTTGATTTAGACAAGGATTGCTGTGGTAATGTACAGTAAATGCTTCCAATGGCACGAAACTGACTTCCAGAACCTACTAATTTACAGAACCTAGTAAATCTCATTGATCTTTTGTCATGTTTGATGCTCCAGGTGCTACTCTGGCAATGCGAGCCACCCCCATACCACTGGAGGAGGTGATGGACTGGAATCAAGCTCCTCCTACATTTGGTTCGGCCCCCGGGGGCTTCCGTCTGCGACGAGGGAGCAGATTTACCTGGAGGAAGGAGTGTCTGGCTGTCATGGAGGGGTGAGGATGAGGAGGGGTACTGATGTAGAATTGTAGAACTGATGTAAGAAGAATTGAAAGTAACAAAGTGCAATGTGTATCTGCAGCTATTTCAATGATAACCAGTATCCCGATGAAGCCAAGAGAGAGGAGATTGCCACTGCCTGCAATGCTGTCATACAGAAACCAGGTACAGTCTTACTGGCAAAAGGTTGTGAATTGCATCCCAAATTAAGTATTAGTGATTGGGGAAACAAATTATTAGATTTGCTATTTAGTATAAATATGTTAACTACTTCTTTGGCTTAATATGTATTTATTAATTAGAAGAACTGCAGGATCCCAAACTTAATTTTTCTAACTGCATTGTAAAGCTAGTTATGTCCTAGACTGTGTGTGTGTGTGTTTTACAGGAAAGAAGCTGTCTGATTTGGAGAGGGTAACATCCCTGAAGGTCTACAACTGGTTTGCGAACCGCCGCAAAGATATCAAGAGGCGTGCTAATATTGGTAATGTCTACGTCTGTATTTGTGTGTGTGTGTGTGTGTGTGTGTGTGTGGGAGTGAAAGAGAGATACACGTTAGATGTTGTATACTACACTATGGTTTGGTGTAAATAAATAAAGAACCCACAGGAAATCACTTGTGCTGTATCTATGTGCTTAAGAGCATTATGTGCAAGTAGCATGCACAAGAGCTTGTGTTTCACTTTAACAGAAATCCTAATTGTGTGAGGTTCTTTTTCTGTGTCACCCAGTTCACACTAGTATTGCTGGTCATCACAATAGACAGTGTTAAATTTCTCGCACACCTGAAGAGGAAACAGGATGTTGTTTTCTTTCCGAGAAGAGCAGCTTCTGAATAGTTGAATCACTGTTGTCCTTATTTTGAGTGTGTTGCTGTTTTGTAGCTGAGTCGATATGCTATGATGACGTTTGTGTTTTTGAAGAAGCAGCCATCTTGGAGAGTCATGGCATCGAGGTTCAGAGTCCAGGAGGTCAGTCCAACAGCGACGACGTGGATGGCAACGACTTCCCTGACCAGGTAAACTATATACGTGAATTCCTACATCTTAATGTCTGAACATAGAAACACAAACCCCCTAAAAAGAACAAAGCAGGAACTCTGTATTTTTAAAGTTAATTGCCTCTCTGATTTTCCCCATGAGAACTGTCCTGGTCTCCATAATTGTTTTTCAAGGGGCTCGGCATAACCTCAATAAGCCATTGTTATTAATGACACCCACAGCTGTTGCTGTTGTGATTATGTTGCTCACTTGTGCACAGCTTGTGTTTGTGCTAGATTTTTGCTTCTCAACACTTGTGTTGGACTGTTGTATGTACCATATATCTTGTGACTTCAACGACTCTGTATCACTACAATGACAACTGTCACAATGTTGACTATTTATGTAGAAAGCATGTAGCAGTTCTGCGTCTTTGCTCTGTAAATCTGTGGATGATTAGTTTGTAATGTTAGCAAATTACTTGATCAGCCCAAAGCCTTTGGATCAAATGGTCTACCTGATCCTTTCAAGGCAGTGTTCTCCCACATGAAACCAATTGCATGTACCGGTAATCAGTGTTACAGGGACACTACATTTAGCAAGTATTTGCAGAAGAAAGAAAGTTCAGGGTCGGATTTGGTCTTGAAAACTGAAATGTTTGTCACAGTCCTTCGAACAGAAATCACTCCACAGATTGTTAGAGACAACAGAGTGTTGACGATCTTCTTTATTTACAGTCGGTCAATACTTAGGGAATAAAAAGTGTTTGACACATGAAAAAATAGCAAAACACAAATGTAACTCGCTCGTATTGCTCCAATATGAGGAGAAATCTCTCCGATAAGTCGACTTAGCGTGGGAATTTGTTCATAGTGCTTGTATGTTTAATAAAAATTAATGTTTGGCCCCAGTGTGTGAATGATCAAAATCACAGAAATATATGGTGACACCGATAACTTGCCTCTGCCTTGTATAACTTGTTTGCTGGTTTTTCACAGGGCTGTGAGGTGTCCTTATTTGATAAGAGACCTTCAGCAAGGCAGTTCAGTTTCAGTCGAGCTGACCTGTCCTCTCCAACCCAGGTACAGCTGGAGCACATCTACACCCGCCTTACATTTATCAGCGATTCCACACGGAGCTACAGATCCACTCAACCTTCTTTTTTCTTATCCCCTCACTCAGGTTCCCACACTGCTTCCGAGCTGGTTTTCTGCCCTGGGTAGAGGGGGCGTGTCTGGACAGAGGGCCGCATCTCTTATTGGTCGCTCCCTAATATCAGGCGCGGTTCCTCAGATGGAAGGTTCCAGACTAACAGGTGTTTCCTGGTCCCCTCCTTCCCCCTCTCTCCAGGACGAGCCCACAGTTCACAGTGCCCTGTCCGAGGCCCAGGATCCAGTCAGTTTGGAGAAGGCGGCGGCAGTGAGTGACAGCAGCCCGGTGGTAACCAATCAGGGGGATGGCGCAGGGTGCAGCGTGGGGAATGACATCAAGACGGAGACTCTGGAGGACGACTGAAAGGAGGGGAAGATATCACAGCTGTCAGAGCGATAAACAGGTGTCATTATATGCAAGCAGATTTTATAGGAATGTAATAATAAGTGGAAAAAAAATGACCAAAAGTCGTGTAAAGTCCAACCCTGAGATACCTCCCAACCCTACCTCCAACCACCAACCTGCTCTGCTACGCTCGTATAGGCATTATTATTGTATTATAATTATAATATTAACAATAAGCTTTTATTTGTTAGTGTTCCCCAGCAACCTGTGGAAAATTTAAAATGTACCTAAAAACAAATCCAGCAAAGAAAGTGAAATAGGACGCACCTATAAGGGAACACATGCTGTAGCTGTCCGTTTTCTTTGTTGATTGTTTATGTTGAGGCATTTTAAATCTTCCATAGAAGGCTGATAAACAGGACTTTCATGCATTGTGCAGATTTTCTTGGAAAACTGCTTTTTTTTTCACAGCAGGACAACACTGTATTTGACATGGAATTCCAAACATTTCAGGGTCTTGCACTGTGATCACAACACAACTTAACAGCCTCAAAAGATAAATGCGTTCATTTTAGTTTATATTAACTGATAGTTATAAAGTGTTGCAGCACATTTCATCACAGTTCTTTATATTTTATATTTAATCTTAGGGTAACAGCATATAAGTAATCTGTCTCTGGGCCCAAAATGTCTGAAAAATGTTTAAGAAAAAAAAAGAGAGAAAAACAGTATGAGCCTCCCCTGCCTGATAAGATAAACTCAATGTGTAGAAGCAGCAAAGGCCATAATGATTGAAACACCGATAATGCAATTTTATCATTACTAAATCTTTCAGGATTTATTGTTTTTACTTGTATTCAGATTTTACTTGTATTCGTGTGGTTACTTATATGCTGCAAGTTTATATTGAAAATTCAGCCGCCTAAGGTTTTCAGGCACTAATTTGGACTTAAATGTGATTTATTTCTATTTACAATAGTGAAATTACCCTTTATAAATATTTAAATACTGTGAATTTAGTAGCGTTTAAACTAATTAGGGCCTCAGTTTCCAGTGAGAATTTAAATCCTGTATGGCTTTACTTTGCTTCCAAATCAATAACAAGTTTGTTTTTTTGTTTTTTTTTTCATTTTTTTGTTTTGTTTTGAGAGAGTTGTATGAAAACTAGAAACCTGGGCGTCCTTGTGACCGGGTGACGTTTATTCATTCGTACCCAGTTACCTGCTGGATTATATAATTAATAATCAACACATATCATTCAGCTGAGAGGAAGTCAGTAGTGTCAAAAAGCTGTTTAAATACTAAAGATTAAAATGTAAAGTGAATAAATACAGATGGGTGATAAATTAAAGGAAACTGAACCACTTAACTGAAACTGAACCTACAGTGTTAGGATCCAGTTTGGGCCTGTTTGTCCCTGTAGAGGGAAAGGTCACAATAACTCTACTTTCCTAATAAGGGCGTTCTCTTCCAGGCTGGCAGTGCATTGTATCTTTAGGCATGCAGTCTGCATATAGCTTTCAGACGTGCTTTAAGTTTTTCTAAACATGGTCTATCTTTTGATTTTCATTTTTTTTTTAAATGGTTATCTTTTGAGGTGAAAAAGCAAGTATGTTTGGTGTTAATGTCACTGGCTGGAGGCCATTGATTGGTAAACATTTGGTGCTTGGAAAGCAGCTGTGGCTGAGAGAGCCATTCATAAACTGATTGGAAGATTAGTGGTTCAGTTTGCACGTTGAATTGTCCTTGGGCAAGATGCTGAACCCCATATTAACACATTTGAGATGTTCAATACGGGTGCTGATATGATAGTTAGTAATGTAAAAAACCTGATATTCCGACTATATTGGCCCATATGTTTTTTCTTTCTCTAACATTTGTTGTGTAGCTATTTATTTACTTGTTTACACTCTGGTTTTTGTGTTTGCATTGTACCAAACGTAGACATTTGAAACGTGTTTGCTGTTGTAAGTGCTGATGCAATAAGTAAGTGGCTAATATCATTGCCCCCGATGTATCTATCAGAGCGCGAGTGTTTGCACCATATTCTTAAAGGCCCATAGTATGCAAGCACTATATGAATACAGGTCTATTTAACATTCACCAGTTTGGCAGTGTTGGGTTGTGCTTATTTTGTGTGAGCCGATGAACAGGAAAAAAATGAGCCAAGAAAACAACTTTTGAAAACAGAAAGCAGACTCTTGTAAGCTGTGAAGTCACCAGACTGTCACCAGAATTACACTCACTTGGGCACCTATGGGAGAATGTGGGCTAGTTAGAGAGGACTCTGAAAACACCAAATGAGGGAATATGTTTTGGAGGAATGCTGTTCATCCCTGTAGTAGAGTTTTAGAAATTTGGAGAATCACTGAATTTCCAGTGCATGAAGGGCCAACACCTTGACACGACATTGGGTTTTTCCTTTAATTTGTTACCCATCTTTCTAATATGTGTGTGTGTGCGTAGACACACAGACTATACTTAAATACAGTATATCTATCCAAATCCATTTCTTTGTACACTATATAGACATATTAGCTTCAAATGAGAGAAACTATCAGTATGAGTCTTATCATGTTGGTGAAAGACGAGTGAAACATTAGCCAAAGTATTAAGTTTTAAAATTTTGTGTATTTTCTGAGTGTATGATAATCATGGATGAAACTGTGTGTTTGAGATATGCTAATCAAAGACGCATCAGATGTGTTAAAAACTATTTCAAGCAAATGCATCATTTTTATATTCTTTTTCAGGTATATCTGTGTTTGTGCTCGATATGCCATGTGTTCAAAACACACACTGTCACTTTTAAGCTGTATTTTCATTTTGAATGACACTTAATTTGTTTATGGTGCTTTGAGTCCTTGTTGATATATTTCACTAGTCACTAAGACTGACTGACAGGCCAGAGGAGGTTATTTCTTTTGAAATCACCATAAGAAGAAATCTCCTTTAATAATTAAAAAACCAAGTAAATATTTGAGGTAAAATTGAGGATATTTAAGGTTAGTACAGCCATTGTAGAAGTATTTTTAAAAGCTGAAGGCATGGAAGCGTCTAATAAGCCATAATTTAACTGTCTAAGTCAGATACACTCCTTGGTCTTCACATGTGGGTTCAAAACACCCAAGACAATAATGGCGAAGAAGTCCAGATGTGGGTGACGTCACAGCGATGCCGTCTTTACTAAACTGCTCGTGGTTCATATTGTTAAAGCTCCAGAACCCTAAAATAATTTCCAGATCAGTTTTGTAGTGAATACAAAATCATCCACCGGTCAAAAGTGAGTAAGGGCTCTGGGGCTTTTGGTTTAAACGCCGTCCTAGTCATGCACTCCCAAAATGTTCTGCACACTAAGCACCGTGCTCGGAGCGTTTCAACTACACTAACAGAAATGTCATAGTGATCCAAGCTTTGTACGTACGTCCTGTTCCACCAGAGTCAAGGAGGAGACATGGCTCCTCAGCTGCTTAATGTTCCGCTGATGAACATTAAGATAATTGAAAGATATACGGTCACAAGTATGTCTGAAGGATCCAGGATTTTAACTGAAGATTTTGACAAAATTTTGACTCTGGCTTTGGCTGAAAATGAGCTCAAGTTTGTAGGCGAGAAAAGCAAAACAATGGGTTAAAACACGCTAAAAAAAAGTAAGGATGACTGCAGTCTCCAGTATGAGCAACACGCACACAGACAGACACTTACTAACCTTTAAAACAAAATAAAAAAAAGTGAGTGCAGCTCAGTGGGGGATCACTGCTGACACTATCATTCAACACTATCAGTCCAGCTCTTACATTTGCTTACCTTTTACAGCTGACACTAAAACCTTCTCAAAGGCTAAAACATTAATAATACTACAGTGCAGTGTAACACTTGATAGAAACCTAAATGCTTATGAAGGTGCAGCACACCTCAGCTTCATGCTTAAGTGCCTCATTTTTCTCAGCGCACTAACAGAGGATCAGTGCATGAAGAAGACTTCTACAATGGCTGTACATTTTTAACCGTACTAATGCAGGCGAGTTAATAACATGATGTTCTGTTACACTAAAGCGGCTTCATTCAAACCGGTTCATCGTCACCAGGTGCTTTACAGGCTAAGCTACTAGTTCAGAGTTTAAAAACTCAACATATATACCTCGCTCCCTCCCATTCAGCTATAAGCTACTCCCCGCAGGTTTGTTCACAGCTGCTTCAATGTGAATCAAAGCTTCAAACTAACTGTCGAGCTGATTTGTGTCAGTCCCGTCTGGATCAAACTGTGACAAGGCCATAAAGATGATTCACGCTGGCTGACAACAGAAGCGTCAGCGGCTTTTCAAAAGGGAAATTTCTCCTCAAACTAGAGCCAGTAAATATCACGTTTAAAGGGAATTTACTCATTTATGAGCTCCAACGTCCACCAGGGTCCATAAAATACGAAATAGTCTCTCTGTCATTCTGGTGGATTTCAGTGTTTCGGGCTAAATGTCTGAGAAACTTTGTTGCATGGTGGAGGATTTCTTTAATTGTGCGGCAGCAGAGCTGTCCTGGGTGTCTTTGCTTTAAGCATTTGAGACATTATTAGTCAGTTATGTAGCTTTCTGTCATTTAATGATTTACACCAAAATTTACAAACCCATCAAAGGGTTACAGATCGTTTTTTATTTAGTTTTTTTCTTTTTAATCTGCTAAGCAGAAGCCTTTCTGAAATGAATCTATGGATTCATTTAGGCCATTGTGCTATTTTGAGATTATTCTTTTTTGCCTTCATGGTCTTCTCATGACATTGCATTTTGGAGGTCTGAAGCAGCCAGTTAGTGTGAGTTTGTGTCATTTTAGCTATTTTGTACATAAGAAAAAGGGAAAGAAAACTGCAAATGAAAAATAAAGGCAAGGTCACAGTCTTAGTTTGATTACCCATCGCGGTCTATTAAAACGATTGGATAGATAAATCTGAGGTGGATCTGTGTCAATAATTTGTTAAGCACCACCAGGAGACCTTACAAAAGTGAGAGTAAACACTGATTTAAACGTTAAGAAATAAGCTAAACCTTCTTACATAAAGAACCCATATTTGCTTCTAATAACAGAAACCTCAGTCTTTTCTGGTGTTTACTGTGCTTTTGTTTGTCTGTTTTGATCTAAATGGACTCTTTTTGTGCCAGAAACTGCCTAATACAGTTAAAGTTCTCATAAAATAAAAAGCAGTAGGACAGAAACAGAAAAGCCTTTGCTCGTGCTGCGTGTTTCCATCTGCCTTCAGTCCTCTGTTGCCTTGTTGAACTGTTTTTCTTTGTTTGTTTGTTTTTTGGAACATCTACCTGTGCATATGTTTGGCACTGACTACACCTTGACTCGTCTTTACCTGTGCCATATCCCGCCGTCACTTTGGCCGGTGGTCCACATAGTACAGCAAATACTTTATTCAACAGGAAAGTTTGGATGTGCGATGCTTCCTTTAACAAAATCAGGGTGCATGTTAAGGTTGAGACTGATGCCTCTCATGTGAGGTGCTTTCATTCCTCCTTCATTGCTCAGTGTTGTGATATGCAGTTTCACGTTTAAAGAGTTAAAAAAAAAAAAAAAAAAAATCTGTTTTTTGGGTTTTTTTTTTTTTAAATTAAGGTGAAAAACACATCTATCATCCATGTGGTCAACGTGAAATGGAGACGCTCCGGTGTTGATGTTCTCATGTAATCAGCCAGGAGGAAAACAAGCAGTGGTTGCCATTTCACTGTGGCAATAAGCTCTTCAATAAATCTCTGTAAAATGAAAAATATCAAACCTCAGCAGGATCTTTGTTGTATCAGTTTAAATTGATTTTTCTTTGTTTATTTGCTTCTTTTCTATTTCAGGATTTAGTGCCTTTTTTGGACAGTAGACTGTTCTGTAATCGCTATGTAGAAACTCTACATAGGCCTTTTGTTACTTTTTCATCTGTTGGATAAACCTTATGTTATATTTAAGGTGTGTTTTTATTGATATTCTATTTACAAGGGAATAAAAACTGATCAGACTCCATCAGTGTGCTGCTGTGCTTTCTTTACCTGCACATCTCACTACAGAATATTTAAGGCATTTGAGACTTTGGATGAAATCTCCGGTAACTAGTGAGCAAACTAAGATATAAATGCGTTCAAGTCATCAGGTTTGACCTGAGTGCCTGCTCTTGTCACTATACAGTCTGAAAATAAAACCAGCACAAGTAAAAGAATTTGACATCCAAATAAGGTCATCTGCTTCCTGAGGGCCAAGAGGTTGTGATTAGATTTCTGCCTAATTTCCAAAGTAGTCATTTGTGGTACTGGAACTGGGGGAAAAAGAAATAACCCCACCGATATAAAAGATCTGTAAAACAGCTTTGCGCAATTGCATTATGCGTACAGTGTGATCTGTGCCTGCAACCATGGGAGAAAACTAATGAGTATGTGCAGTGGGCTGGACAACAAGAAAAGAAACCAGAAAATAGGAAAACTTGTTTGTCCATAAGCTTTTTCCCTTTTCCCAGTTCAATGAAACTAGCGTGAAACACTCATACCATTATGATTTAAGCATTTTACTCTTGAAGTACGTGTTTTCCCACTTGAGCCCTGCCCAGTGACACGAAATATGCAAACTGCTCAGTTCTGTAGTCTTACTGCTTTAATAATAAATAAATAATTCGGAGTTCAGTTGAATTTCTTTATAGCTCCAAATCACAACAGCAATGGTCTCAAAGCATGTTGTACTTTAACCTCCTAAGACCCAAACTCTTCCACGGCATGCATTTTTAATTTCTCTTTGATATTTGGGCTGATTGGGGCCCGATGAATGTAAAAACAAATTACCAGATTTTTTTTTTTACCTTATTTTTGTTTTTATGAAAAATCAGGGCCACATATGAGGATATTCGTTTAAAATTTTGGTAGAACAGTAGCAGTATAATGTCCTCGTAAGTGGATATCAGGCCCTTGTAGAGCAAACTTGAGTAAATAACCCAAAATGTGATGTCCACATATGTGGACACCAGGTCCTAGGAGGTTAAGGTAAAACCCTAAAATACTGAGAAACCCTAACAATCACACCCCATATGAGCAAGAGATTTGGTGACAGTGGGAAAGACAAACACTCTTTTAACAGGAAGAAACCTCTAGGCTCAGGATGGAGCAGCCATCTGCAGCTACTGGTTGGATTGATGAAGGAGACGAGACAAAAGCCATGAAGAGGAAGAAAGCCAGATATTAAATGCAGAGACGTGTATTGGGTTAAAGGAATATATGTTCCACAGTATTAACAAAATAATTCCAGTTTAAGCTTCTGTATTTCCTGTTAATGTGGCTCAGTTACCAATTTGGAAAAAGCAGAAGCTCTGAAGTCTTAAGAAAATAGATATTTTCTACATGAAGAAATAAATCTGTTTTAAACTCGACTTAGTTGTAGTTAAAGCAGTTTGAGCCACATCAATTAATACACCAAGTTGAAGGCTGAGGTATCCTTTAAATGAGTTTTGTAATGAATCTGACTGGAATTAAAGTGATTTTAAAGTACCTAATAACTTTTTGTCTTGGCCTTGAGTGGTGTAAACAATCCCGCCTTAACTTGTATATTTGAGTTTTCAGCTGTGACATTTTTAAATCAGAGGAGTGTTCGTCGGAGGACGCACGATTAATTCTGTGCTATAATCTGAGCAAATTACACAGTCTAATGAAAACTTGGCAGCAAGACTGACTCACTTCAATTCATTTGACCTTATTTGAACTTAAATGGGCTGACCAGTAAAACAAGTCCATAATAAACCCCCCAAAAAAGTTGTGGTGTCTTCCAGTATTAAGAATTTATGTATACTATATAAGTGCTGTTTCAACATTACACCCGTTTCTCCACATGAAAGAAACACAACAGGAAATCTGTAAAATTACAGGTAAAGTTCCAGAAAATGGAAAAAAGTTCCAGTGGTGCCAGCTGTGTTTTGAGATAACAAATGAAACAAACAAAATGCAGTTATTTCTAAAAACTTCAAGCATCAGATCTTCTAGGCACAAACAAATACTCTGTTAATATTCCTCTTTTTTTAAATTTTATTTAATCTTATCAGATTACCCTTCAGATGGTTTTAAAAAAAGAAAAAGAAAAAACTTATTATAATACATGTTTATTCTTTGGATTGCAGCATATAATTACATAAAACAATTAAATTAATCAAAACCCAAACTTGTGCTCAGATTTTTTCTTTTATAATTCTTAATATGAGCATATATATACACACACATACATACATCGAACAAGCACTTGGATGGTGCACTCACACATACAAATGACACATCAGGACAAACCTGCCCTAAGGGATCAATAGTAGCAGTGACTGATAATGATTAGTTAAGATGATAGATGGGCTTTATTAATACTGCTGACCAGGCTGAAGCCCAATAAACAAACACTTGAATATTTAAATATTTTCAGCTGAATGGGTTAAAAGATACACGACTGAAAAAAATTTTTTGTTGTCGTTTTTTGCAGGAGTAACAAGAGGAGTAAACTCTCTGACTCGGCAAGCACCAATCGCTCAGCTCGGTAAAAATATGGCAGCTGGTACCTCAGAGGAATATTGATAACAGCCTTTAAAATACACCAGCAGACATTGTATCTTAAATGATGCACATGCAACAAGGCGGCAATGCATCACCCGATGCCCTCATATTGCTCATTTGTGCAGTTTATACTAGCACAGAAAACAGGAACTTGCTGCCAGCAGTGAAAGGCTGTAAAAACTATAAAAGGGCCTCGGAGCAGGAGGTGGCATAAGCAAGGCCAGAGGTAGTTTCAAGGTGAAAACTAACTACCCAGGCAGGAAAATATGCTTTTGTCCAACACAAATCCAAGAAAATACAATTTCGGAGATAAGATTTCATCCCAAGTAGCTGTTAGGTTGCTGCTGCAGGGCAGTGGTAGGTTAGATTTCACTGTCTAGCTATATAGAAAATTCCCTGTGAGGAAGTCAGGCATGGTACCCACTAGGGGGCGACACATTAGCCTTCCTTTAACTGGAAGAGAGTAATAAACCTGACAGCTCCTGTGGACCAAACCATTAAAAATTTAACCAGACTGGCTTTCTGTGGTTTTGGAATGACCCTTTTGAATACTGCTGAGTTTAGTACAGAGCAGAGCTGAAATTGTTGCTGCTGAAACTAGTCTGGCTCCAGGTTGAAGGCCACATTAAGGCAGGCGGGGGTTTGCTCAAAACCAGTGATCCTATACTCAGCATGCAGCTGCAGGCAGTACGACAGACGATGCAAAGACATGGGATTGAAAATGAGCAAAATAAAAGCAAAAAACCTTAAAAAAAAGAAACTGCGAGGGACAAAAGATTCGTCCAGACCGACATACGCTTGGATCCATATCACAGGAATACAAGTAGAATTAAATGTGGTCCTGATGGTAGTGTCATGGAAACAATCTCTACCTCTAATCTTTATAACTACTGCAGCAGAGATGGAGCCTATTGAATTGAAGCTAGAATATTAAACTCATCCAAACAGCAATTACTAACGCTACACTTCCTTTTGTTCAGTTCTTCTTTAAAAAAAAAGAAAAATAAATCGACCCTTGTTGACGTGTGGATCTTGAGCATCCTGCAGTCTACAGAGCTATATTCTTATCTGCTTTATGCCCTCATCACACTTGATCCACTGCTATGGGGAGCTAAACAGGAGATTGTGCTGGAAGAGAAGTCCATCTACATTGGAGCTTAGCTCTACATTTTACAGTTTAACTTCTGGGAGGAAAACAGTGAGTAATCTTAAATAATCATACTAGGAGAAGGAGAAGAAAAACAGGTAATCTGAAACAAGAAAAAACCCACTTCATCTTTAAAAAACAAACAAACAAAAAAACAGTTTGTATTTTTCTTCTTACATGTACAATAATTCCAGAAATTAAGTCTTCAATTCCATCTGGAGGCGTTTGTGCAAATGAATTGAAGCGTTGATATGAAAAAAGTGTGTGAAAGATACATGGTCACATGGTTTCTGAGGCACAACAACATAAAAGAACATCCAGAAGCCTGAAGTGATCTCAAACACACAAAGCAGAGCAGACACCAGGACGGGAATTAGTATTTTTTGCCAGTAGAGCAGCGAGGGCGAAGGCTTGCCGCTCTATGCTGAAGTCCCAGGAAATGTACGTGAAACGGCCGCTGACGGTTATTTTCCCATCTTGGCAACGACTCAAAGACACAACTGAATCAGAGACAGGTGCACTCGACACTCACCCACACACACAAACGCACACAGGAACACTTCCTTTATTACCACCGAACCGTTACAGACCACATTATTGAAAACTAACCGACAGAGCACTTCACAACCTGCTAACTAATGACACAACAGGCAGAAACTAGCCAATAAGAGGACTCCAGAGGTCTGGACTTTATGGCCAGACAATAAATACACAGATAATAAAATAGACTGTGGAGCCTCATCTTATATTTCAATCAGTTTCCTGTACAGAAGTGATTCTTCACCCAGAAAATATCCTGCCCATCGCTTCTTCAAGGCTCATACGACAAAGTGCCTCATTCAGAAGAATTTTACTAAGTCATAAAAATATATGGGCCACTGAATCAGGAGCACGGACTTTAGTTTTGTTTGTCAATTCGGGAATTAAACACTACTACTGAGATCCAATCTATCATACAGTATGAGACACGAGTAATCAACTGATTCATTTACAGGTAAATTTACAACGCTAATAGCAGCGATTTTAATTAAATCATTTGTGCAACATTTATTTATTCAAATAAAAAGGCTTTACCAGCTTGTGTGCGATCACTGCGTGCACACAAGCATTTAAGCATAAATAGTAACTTCACTGATGGATCCATAAAGACGATAGTGTTCAGACATAGTGTGTTTACAGTATAAGCACACAGTAATCCAGATAACCGTTCCATCATCAACATCAGGAACCTGAAAACCATTACAGACACCAAAAACCTGCCTCATCCTTCAATAAAACTTATTCAGTTCATTGGGAGGCTCTTTTAAAGGAACCATAGAGCTAAAATACCCCAAGAACGTTCAAAATTAATTATTTTCCACCTTTAAAGCCATCTGGCCGTGCTTCATCCTCCCTCTCTGAGACAAACCGAACACTTCCTCACCTCAGTCTCGACATTACTCCAGAGATTTAGTGTTGCCTTTTCAAAAAGGACCGCCGAATTTAAAAAGGAAAATCCAACAAAACTCCAGAACCCTCCAAAAAACATCTCCCATTATGCAACTCAGTAGCAGCTTTTATTAGAGTCTCACCACGAGATTAATGCATCTGTGGCTTCATGGTATAAATTTATAGAAAAGTGTCATTTGCTCAGGTGTACAGAGCTCCTCCTCAGAGCTACAGGACGTTTTCACAGGCAGTAAAATTTTCAATGTGAACTGAACTGGATTGGCCCTTTAAAGAAGACCTATTATGCTCATTTCCAGGATTTTCATTCTTTCCCATGTGACTGAATACAGTTTGCTTTGTATCACTTATGTTGGAATATCATCCTTTTGTCAGGCCTCTTGTGAAAGCTGCATAAACTCGGGGGAGAGTCACAATTAAAAAGAAAGGCTGACACTTTAACTCTTTAAACAGATTTAACATGTTTCAAATTTTTGCCTTTCTCCTTGGACTTCCATCATGTAACAGATTAAATGACAACTTACTCAAAATAACCCATATTTATATTATAGTTGGACTCAGTGGAGCCCCTCAATTCATAGAATGAAATAAGCTATTTTAGCTCCATTCCCCTCGCTTCAGGATGCCTTTCCTGATTGGCTCCTGAGATTAACCTGAGATGATTAGGTCATATAGAGCCAAGAATATAAAAACTGTCTGAAACAGAGCATTTTGAGAAGCTTAAAGCCTTAGATTTTGGCTTATAGGGATTACTTGTGCAAACATTTATTTTAGATATGATCGTTCACCACTGTAAAAGTACATACAGTACAGGAAATGAGTAAAAGCATAATAGATGTCCTTTAACTTGTAAAAGCACTGCAAACACATATACCATCTTCACTCCTAATAGTGCTTTGGTGCACTGAAACAATTTAAATCACATTAAATCGCAAGAATAAAATTCAGTGTAAAAATGTCATCATCCCTCTGGAATGTTTCATAAAACCTAATTTAAAAAAAGTAATAATCCACATGTCTACGATATCTTTTAAATTTTCTTCCACAGATCAGTCAGGACTGCCTCTGGGTTTAACACTTTCCCAAAATGTACTCATAGCTCGTTCTCCCATTTGTGTCAGTATAAAGAAACAAGGACTAAAAACTTACTTTTAAAAAGATCAAATGCATAGAAGCAAATTCACCCTTCTCTCAAGCTTAAGTCACTTTCTTTTCCTCAGCACATACTCTGCCCATTTCCACCTCCACAGCACTAAGGTGCTGCCCAAACAGCGCCTCCTGGTGTCCGGATATCATCAGTCACTTTCAGGGACATGGGAATATCCTGACTGGGATTAAAAATCCAAACAAACAAAAGAATAAAACAAACAAAACAAAGACGACACCAAAGAAAGCCAACCTGTTCTCGTTACCTTATCTGGTCGCTGCATCATAACCACAGACATGTTCTGTTCACGTACAGAAGCTCCTTATCCAACGTCTCCAGTGCAAAAATCAACTTTTAAAGCCTCCCAGTTTCATAGTGGCTTTGTCACGACTATTCCTGCTGTACGAAGCTAATCTTTAACACCATCACGACTACAACATTAACGTACACACAGAGCAACACTGTACAACATTTACACACACACGCACACTGTGCTTTCCCCTCTGCAGTCCCTGAGATCACCTCACACTTAGCACAAGGCATTCTCTTCAACACAAACACGGCTACAAGGAGTTAAATATACAGACAAATGCAAACCAAGCCATGGTGAAGGCACATTCTGGGAGGATCAATCTTCAAAAGAAAATGGGAAAAAAAGGAGTCCGAGAGGGAGAGTCAAAGTGTCAGTCTGCAAATTGGACCTGGAGAGTTCAGGAAGGTGGCAACCGTAGCGTTAAATTCTGGACTATCAAGTAGAGGCATCATATGCAGGGATACAAACATGTCAAGTGTGAAAACGCAGCAAATATCTACTGCCACAATATGATTTGAGGTTTGTGGTACTCAGGAACTGAGATAAATAAATAAAATGTCAAAGAAAAGTGACGCCAATCTTCACTGCCTAATAGTCAGCTTTATAAAATCTTTATGGTCAAATAGGATCATTTGACTTCTTTTAACAACTATTATAGGCTGACAATTAATCGTGAAAGATGAACGACAACAAAAAAAAATAAAATAAGATGGGGCCAGTAAATCCATTAGCCTCGTCCTTTGAAAGTCTTCCATCCCACTGTAAAAATACCTTGCTCCCAACCAAATTACCCTAGTGTGACCACAAAAAAGCCACATGTTTGCATCCCTGTATATCAGCTAAGAAAGCATCATCCAGCCTGCGGGGTTCAGTCCTCACTCCTGGTCCAAATAGTTCTGCTTTTCATTCAGTCTCAGCAGTCTTCCCACTGACTGCTAATCATCTTCCCGCATGACAACTGGTCCTCCCACGTACTTCCAAATATCCTGCATAGTCTTTCATTATCTTACTTGAATTGTTCTTGAAAGTTCTCTTTACCGTGTTTATTCTATATCCATCCAGACTCTATGAATGGATGCAGTGAGTGTAGAATCTAACTGTAGGAGGTTAGGCAGTAGGTCAGTTGTAGAGTATGAGCCTGTTGCATAGCTGAGAGGAGGAGGATGACGATTGTGGGCTCCTAGTTTTCATGTCTCAGCTGCTCCAGGATTTGCGATTCTCCCCTCGGCGTGCAACAATGGCCTCTCCTCGCAGGATGGGGACGTGGGCAGAAGGGGTAAACTCCCCTGTCTGCCGATTGGTCCGCTCGCGGGAGGACAGCCGGTTTGGGCGGACCAGCACCCCGTAACCCGGCTTACAGTGGAAATACCGCTGACCTCCGACGGAGCCGTCGTTCTTACCTGCAAACATAAGGTCATCTCCATCAATCGACAGACATTTAGGACTATGGTGGACTGCGCTGATCCTTTTAACTGGATACATACCTACAGGAGTGTCCAGCTCCACCCCCACCCAAACTCCTTCAGCAAACTGTGTCACCCCAATGTAGCGCACCGTCCCCGCCTTATTGTTCCCTACTGTAACATATGCTCCTTCTGTCAGCCAATCAGGCAGCACGTCTTCACCACCTCGCTCATCATCATCCACAAAGATCTCTAGTCTCTCAAAGCCTTCATTTCCTCCGGAGTTTATCAGCTTCTGTTCGGAGGAGACGTCGGACGTGATGCTATTGTGATTGGCTGAGTTGTGAGAAGCAGGCGAAGCGACGACTGACACCTTGGCACCAAACTGAGAAGGAGAGGTCACAATATCGTTCCTGTCAGCGCCCTGCTGCTGGGGGTTTGTGGGTAACGTGGTCTCGACAGCCAGGAGGGAGGAGGATGAGGAGGAGGGTTGGAGAACGTCACACAGGGTAGCTGTAGAAACACTAGCAGAGAAGTAGCCGCTTGACGACTGGCTGAGGGGGCTGAGAGGGGTGGTGTCATGCGGGTCATGCACAGGAAGAGGAGAGACTTCTGGGAGCTCTGCCCGTCTGTCTTTGGCTGGGGGCCGTAGAATAGCAGTCTACAGGAAACAGGGGGGACAGATAAGAGCATGCAGACAAGGCAAAACAAAAGAGTAATCAACAACAGTAATCAACCTTCAAAATAAAACTTGACAGGAAGAAGTCTAGGGTCTGCGAATCTCATCTTTTGACTGCGTTGACTCCCTATAGAGCCCCAAGGTGCATATCAGGCTAAAGCATACGTTACTGTGTACAGGGTGAGCTACGGCACAGATTTAGTGCAGTTCTATAAATCAAGCACAATGCAATTACGCTAATGAGTGAATCGCTGAAAAGGTCTTAAACTGCACATAAAGAGCAATTCATTAAAACTTACAATGGGACCACATTAAGAACCGATGTGGAATTGGAATCTAGTAAGGATGCATCTTACAGAGAAAGAAGAGAATAAACAGAACTACAGAACTGTATTATGGGACTGCGTGATTTGGGTACTAGATCTTCAGTTGCTTTTAGTATCCCTGAATTTATAAAAGTGCATTATCAGACTGTTGCAATGACCCTTGTTAGTTGATAAATTGGACAGCAGGGATTGATGGAGGCAACTTTTGTTTTTTGCAATACACTTGGGAAATCATCCTCTAATGCTGCAAACTGAAAACAAACAGAGACTGTGGTTACCTAATGCCGTTTTTCCTCAAAGAACCAAGTGGATTAAACTACAAATAAAAATTACTAATCAAAAGTATTCATGTTATTTTGATCTCAAACAAAATCTTAAAAAACCTGATTAAAATTAAGTTACCGATAAACCAAACAGCATGTAAAGGATAAGACGAGATTTAATCTCACCGTCTCGGTCTTGCCTTTGTTGTCGTCCCCTCCTGATGAGGTCACTATACGAGGCACGTGCTGCTGAGTGACAAGGACACAACAGAGAAAAAAGAAATGCAAATAAACAGGCTGTGGCAGGCTAATGGCACTGAATCAATGCTATGTATTTAACATCATGTCATGCTGCATATGCAACATTATGATTATTAGGATCGTTTACTACAGTCATGGCCAAAAGTTTTCAGACTGCTAAAATGTGTATTTCATACACTTTGTTCCTTCATTTTCCTGCCCCGGAAGTGTGCCATAGGGCGAGCACCTGGTGGCCTGGCCTTAGTCCATGGGCCCACCCTTTCGTAAGTCCACCACCCACAGGAAGGGCTGGATGCAGTGTGTGCTGGGCCGATTCCTGGCTACCAAGGCTAGCAGTGGGGAAGGAGCCTGAGCTAATGTGTAAGGTTGAGAAGTACTGGATAGAGATAGTGAGGCTCAACTCAACACACAGCTCTGGAGTTATCTTTGGCAGTGCTCCACCTGGGGATTCTGTCAGTGAGACCTGGAGGGGTGTGACTGGCCTGCCACACCTGAGTGGTGTTCTACTACTGGACTTCTGTACAAACCACAGTTTGTCCACAGAAAACCATGTTTGAACATAAGGGTGTCCATAAGGGCACCAGGACATCCCAGGCAGCTCGATGATCAATTTTGTAATTGTGTCATAATGGGGTTAGCTCCTCCAGCCATACATTCTGGACACTCGGGTGAAGAGAGGTGCTGAGCTGTCAACTGATCACCAGCTGGTGGCGAGTTGGACCTGTGAGGTTGCACTGGGAATGTCTGACAGAGGCTACCGTCCACGAAATCTTCAACTCCCAGCCTGAAGGAGCAGTCCTATCAGGCTTGGTTAGACTGTGGGACTTGGAAAGCAGCCAATAAGTGGAAGAAAATGGATGGATGTTTCTATGATATAGTGAAAAACAACGACTTCTACTGGCACATGAAGAGTCAGTATTTACATTTTCGAGCCTTCCTTTTCATAACTTGAAGTTCTAAAAAGTGGGGGGTAAGTAGAAATCCTCAAACTGATCAGCTAGGACCACTGATATGGCAGGAATCGATCACCAGTAGTCTAAATCTGACCAATAAGTTGATAGCCAGCATGCCACACAGAACAGCACAATGCACACTTTCTTTTAGTCATTAATTTGTCAATTATAATTCATCAATATTTTACTGAAACCATGAAACCCTGAAGAAAGAATAAAAAAAACAACAACAACAAAAAACAAACAAACTTGTGCCTGCGAAAACCTCTGGTCATGAGTGCAGCTACAGCTACAGCTACTCATAACATGGAGTGAAAAATGTCACCTGCAATCAATAAACTATTTCAATGGGCAGAAAGAGTAGAAATCAATTCTGATTAACCCGTCTACAATTTAGTTCAGGTCATTTCAGTTTTATTGAAATTGCCAAATAACAACAGTCACCTCAAGGCGCTTTATATTGTAAGGTAAGGATCCTAGAATAATGGTTCAAATATTTAAAAATAAAAGTTGAAAAATAAAAAAGTGATATTATATCTATTACAGATATGTAACAAACTCAATACAAGGCTTCCAGGGAATTGCACTGGACCATCTGCTGACCTGCTGGTTTTGCGGCGAAGGTCTCAGCTCCTTCTTCTCATCTCGCACTGGAAACAGAGACTTGAGCAGTTTGGGCATCTGGGGAACCAGCGCCTTAACTGAAAGATAAGAGGCAGCAAGTCCTGAACGACCTGGAGGGGGGGAAGAAGGGAAGAAGGCGAGAAGGAGGAAGACGAGGCGAGAAGGGAGGAGGCAGAAGAGAGGGAAGGAAGCAAGGAAACAAGAGGAGGTCCAGGAGGTAGAGGAGGCATGAAAGATTAAGATTGGAAGTTGAAAGTGAGTCCAGAAAATGGCAAAAACCCCAATACTGGGATAGACTAACAGAGGAAGCTGGCAAAAAAAAAAAAAAAAAAAAAAAAAAACTAAACAAAAAAACTAACACAAAGATGATTTCAGCCATTAGGATATGATTTCATAAACACTCTAAATTACTGGACTGTGAAAGAGAAATTATTTAAACATCATTAATTCTGTTTATTTTCAAAACAGAATTACGCTGAAGGACATCACAGTGACAATGATTCAAACTGACATTAACATGAAATCACTATGAATCAACTAACTGACAGACAATATTCAGATTAATCACAGCAGACATTAAAAAAAAAAAGCTCTGTTCAAGGAGATGAGGAGAGAATGGAGACCTTTACACTAGAAATGAATACAAAGAGAGCAGGTAGATAGTGTGATAACACACTGGACATGGAGGATCTAGCATTTAATAATGTGAACAATGAAACATCAGATGGTGTGGTTAAATATCTTTGGAACGTCAGACAAAAGAGGACAAGGTGGAAGAGAAAGTAAGGTGAAATCTGTGAGCAGCTCAAGTGGATGAATCCAGGCAGAAGAAAAAGGAGGAGAAAAGAATGGCTGGGGGAGTAAGATGGAGCAATGAGCAGAGCCCAAAGTGTTTTATTGAAGAGAGAAAGGAGATGGGAAAAGAAGGAGGGGTTTACCTTGCTCTGGTTCCTGGTTCTGTGGAGGAGGAGTGCCGAAGGGAGTAGTTGATGAAGACGGGGAGGTAGAGTAGGTGGAAGGGGAGGAGGCTGGGCGGGGCAGGGTGCGAGGAAACTGAGAGGGCATGTAGATATCCTGCTGACTCTCCCATCGACCCTGAGGGAGCAGACAGAGATAATGTTGGATTTAAAAGGATGAAATATCTGAGTCGTACAGCATCCACAAGTAAAAGCACACAAATTACTGCTCCAAGCACAAAGTATAATTTATGTATAGCTGTTCTTGTCAACTAAAAGATGCAAGTTGGTTAGTTTCTACTTTCAATGTACTACCTGTGCTAATGCACATTATTTTTAAATAATAAATAAGCATATTAACTAAAAAAAAAACAACAACAACAACAGCAAAAACAAGAAAAAAAAAACCAAAAAAACAACAACAGGAAAATACCCCTTTTTCAGATATACATGGTAACCCATATGTAAACAAATCATAAATTTTTTATGCAAATATAGGGTAAAAGCAAACAGGTCTTTCTGTTGATTTAAACTGAAAAACTTCAAACAGGGTTCCTAAACCTTTCGAAATATTGTTTTTTGGTCTTTCAACATGGTTTGTGTTCCAGTGTGCTAATGCACCTTACAATATGACATTAAAGTTGGGCCTTTTGAAGCATGTTGGCTGAAGCATAAAGCATAAGCAGACTAAGAAAAAGAAAAATTGTGTCACTTTCTCAAAACTCACTGTCAATAAATTATAAACTTATTTCAATTATAAACTTATTTAAATGATTAAGGTTGGTTACTTTGGTTCAGTGCTGAACTCTATAGTGTTTGGTGCTGAGATTAATCTGACTAGTATTACGTAGATAACTAGGGGTGCAACGATACACAAAATTCACGGTTCGGTTCGATACTTTGGTGTCACGGTTCGATAATCGATACAAAAAAATGTTCATGCCTTTTTAATTTGTCATTTATTAAACTTATAAATATATATTTTAACTCAAAAGTACAGTTTTTAAATTTAATGTTGCTGAAACAAAAGTAATTTAAAAAATAAATATATCTCTGGGCTCTCAAAATTTCAAAATCCCTGGTAGCCCTTCGGGCAGGGACTCTTCAGTTTTTGGTAGCCCAAAATAAATTTAAGTAGCCCAAATAAAAAAAGAGCAATTTTTTGATTGATGTTTTGTTTCCTTTACAATATTATACATTAAAGTATAATATTGTAAAGGAAACAAAAAACAAATCAAAAAACTGTTGAAAAACAAATTACAACATTGTATAAAAATTACAATAATCAACTCAAATACTTGGTTCTAATTGAACAGAAATTTCTATGAACTTGTAAGAACTGTGTAGGACATGAATCAGTCTGTGTCAGATCCTGAATTTGAAATTTCCACTGAAGTCACGGGTAAGAGACAAGTGGAACCAAGATCTAGGCCATTTGCTTTTTGAAGTTTGCAAAGACTGCTAAATTTTCCCAGTGGTAGTTCACTCTTTGCAACATAGTACGCTGTTCTAAACAGATTTTTTCAGGTTTATTTTAGTATGTTATTTGCAATTGGTGTTTGTTCTGGGAAAGATATTGCAGACTGAGCAATAATGCATTTCTTGCATTTCTCATGGGTTCTAATGGGGGCCTTTCTTAAAATGACTGGTCCCAGTAACAAAGGCGCTTGTCGACTCAGAAATCGATAGAAAACCAACAACACACCCGGCAAAACATTATGTTATTTACACGGGTGCACATAAGTGGTCCGCATTCACTGTCAAAATAAAAGACGCGCACCAGATAAGAAGTTGCAACGCGCGTTTGCCTCCATATAAAAAGCACTGTTTTTGTCCGCTAGAGTGGGATTTTCACGGCACATTCCGCACCACATCTCTGTGCGTTCATCATTTGTTTGAAGCCAGCTCACCTCCTGCAAACACTTTTCCGAGAATACGTGCTTCTTTTGTGGTTCGGACTTGGAGGTGGAGGAAGACCAAAGTAATTGCTTAAAGGAGCTTCTTCGACATCTTTAAGAGTTCTAAACAAATGTCTGTCCTCCTCCAGAAAATCTTATGTATGCAAACACGTGTTGCAACTTCATATCTTGTGCGCGTTTTTTTTCTTTATTTTGACAGCGAATGCGCACCTGCGGACCACTTATGTGCAGCCCCGGTTATATAGCTCATATTGCAGTCACAGAAATTCTTTTGTCCATGAAACCATAAAGCTGCACTTTCTTTTTGCCTTATAGTCTGATTTGTCATAACTTTTCCGTTTTGTGGTAAACTTTTCTTTGGCGGTCACTTCTTCACCCTGACCCGTCTTATTTGGCTCAGCAGAACTAAAATATATATCCTGCTGCTTTTACACACACACACACACACACACACACACAGGTCAGCGATTCTCTGCACGATCAACCTCTTACATGTTTAAGCTTGCTGCGGGAGATTTCACTTGTCATGTTTGCATAGTAAGCTAACGATTGATAAGACAATGTCAGAGGAATTGGTGCGCAAATTATCATCACTCACCAATCAGTACTGTCGCTCTCTATACACAGTTCGCGCGATTGCAAAGTGAAAGCAAAAAACAAGCGCAAATTCAAACGCGATTTCAATATGTCACATATTGACAGTGGCTCACCGATGCCAATGACATAATTACCCAGCTACATTTCCGAAAGAATGAGAAAAGCATTGACATATATGTAAATGACCTTTAAATTTGGTAAATATTTTTACGTTTGTTTGAAAGGCACTTCGGTTTTATTTTGAAATCAATGCTTTTATTTTGAAACAGGAAACTGGCACAAAACCGTTAAAGGGCTGTTAGTAACGTTTCTTTTAGGATATGGTAAAATAGTGTGCCTTAAAGTGAAAAATATGTACGTTTACTTTGCCAATTAGTACCTGGCTGACAGTGGCACAAGGTTTGTTAATGTTTCCTTTAACGGAATAAGTTACATGCAATCAAAATGTCATTTAATAGAGTTTATGTTGTTAACCTTGACCTTTATGTGTAGTTGTAAGTTAGTGAGGTGATATAATGAATTGAGTGATGTAAATTTGATGTATATGCTATATGTGAGCAGGAGAAATTTGTTTCCTTTGATCTTATGGTATTAATATTGCTGGTTTTGTTTTGCTCCTAGCTCTTACGGTGTCTTCACTGAATGTTTCAATAAAAACATTTCCAATAAAACCTCTGTGAAGCATCAGTATAAGAGACCATCATTCAGCCAGGGATGCTACAATATATTTTTCTTCCTACAATAGCCCGACGGGCAGGGCAGAGATAGATTTTGGTAGCCCGACTGGAAAAATCGCTAGCCCCAGGACGTCGGGCTACCGATTTTGTAAGCCCTGTATCTGATTGAGGAGTCACTCATCATTGGAAAAGAGAGTTTATTACAGAGAAATGGCTCTTTCCAAAATAAAAGCAATACTATACACTTCTTCTGGGCTATATTCTCAGCAGCATATTGTAGCGGGTCAGGGCTGTTCGGGGTTCTGTTTGTACAGTTATGTTTTGTTTATGTTGCCATAGTGACGGGTGACGCCCTCTCGCTGCGACGGTGTGTCCTTCCGGGGTCAGAGGGCGCCCTGTGTGTTGTAGTTGTTGCTGTGCGGTTGCCGCGCTGAGCAGTTAGCTAGCGGCAGTGTTCTTCTGCAGATGTCAATAAACGGCTGTGCTCCCTGGCTAGCTCACGGGAAGCAAGACCAAATGACACCTCTGTCTCCTCCTTGTCTGAGCTCGCCACATTGGTGTCAGAAGTGGGATGATGGTGGCACCCCATGTTCTGACCCAAGTGACTTTTCCCCCGCCGGTCGTGACCGGCTGGTGCGCCAAAAGAAGGCACTTGGACATTTGCAGGACTTTGTGTGGGGTAATGGGGTCGTCGGGGACGACTGACCCTTTAGGTGGGGGCTATGTAGGGGTCAGGGCTTGGTCGGGGTTCTGTTTGTACAGTTATGTTTTGTTTATGTTGCCATAGTGACGGGTGACGCCCTCTCGCTGCGACGGTGTGTCCTTCCGGGGTCAGAGGGCGCCCTGTGTGGTGTTGTTGTTGTTGCTGTGCGGTTGCCGCACTGAGCAGTTAGCTAGCGGCAGTGTTCTTCTGCAGATGTCAATAAACAGCTGTGCTCCCTGGCTAGCTCACGGGAAGCAAGACCAAACGACACCTCCGTCTCCTCCTTGTCTGAGCTCGCCACAATATTAAACATATCAGGTCCCCATAAGGAGAATCATGTGCTAACGGCTGTCTAAATGACTCGGGTAAAGTTTGTAGCATGCATGCTTGTTGTTTTTGTCTGCTTCCACTTGTCTTTGCACTAGGATGATGTCGGCGTAAATGCGCAGTCATATTCGTTGTGTTCCCACTAGTGCTGTTAGCGTTAATCTCGTTGAAATGATGTTAAGGCCACAACACGGCAAATCTCAGTTAACGAGCTACCCCTGATCGCCCGTGCGTGGGGCTAGACGGCCAACACGTTAACGAGCTAACTGCGCTAACACACTAGTTCCCACCCATGTAATTGAGCATTGCGTGGCACATCCAACATACTGTTTCACTTTAGTCCATGACGCGCTTACCTTCAGGGTCATACGTCACATGAAAACCAAAATAATTCCAAACGCAAGATCTGAATGAGGGTGGGGGAGGTTCAATTTGCCATGTTGCAAGGAGAGCTTAACTTCTGTCTCCCCTGCGCTCTTCCTTCTGGCAATGCTGTCTGTGTTGAACGCTCAGTGGATCTGCGCTCGACAGTGCAGCCTAGGCGGAGTAGTCAAACGCAGATTCACTGAGCGCTCAACACAGACAGCATTGTCAGAAGGAAAGTTGATAAAATAAATTACAAATTTTGTATTGTTTGATACATATGCGTACTGAACCGAAAGCACTGTATCGAACGGTTCAATATCGATACGAATATCGTTGCACCCCTAGTAGATACATTTAACTAGAAAAAAGTTCTTCTTTTATTAATTAAACTAAGTAAATTAAATGACCACATAATTATCGGGTCTATTTAATAACTGAATGCAGTGTTAAATACAAAGAGGTAAAGTTTTTGATTTCATGCAATAATAACACAGCTCTCCTAGCTCTCTTTATGCACGCTAATGAAGAGAGCTTCCAACGTTGCACAGGCAACACTCCAGCAGTTACACAAACAGAAACACATGATTTTGTGCTGTTGAACAGTGGGTATTACCTTATCGTCCAGCAGGCAGGTTGTGGACAGGTCTTGTCTACTTCCAGACAGCTGACAGAAGGGACAGCCAAGAAAATATATATATATATTGAGAAACATCACATCTTATTGCAATAAAATGTAATGCCATCTGTGCTATGATGGTCTGCCACTATATTTCATGCTTTACCCTGTTAACAGAAGGAGAGCTTATGCTCCGTCTGTTACTCTTCCCTCTGCTAGTCAACTGCTCCTTCACGGCCACTTCCTAAAACACAGTATTTTAATGTATATATTAGAAGAAAATATTAGAAGATCATCAATTAAAAAAAAAAAAAGCTGTGTGACTGGATGAATGCTTGCCTATTCATAATGTGGGTTTAAATTCAATCTACAGCTCTATTATTTATCTCCACCTACCTGTCTGAGTCTATCCAGTGTCAGAATGTTCTCCAGACTCAGGACACTCCGGAGGTATTTCTCAATGGCAGCTTCATCATCGCCTGACTGGCTGTTGTGTGCGCTTGCAGCGAGTCGGGCCAGCATCTCCCTGTCCTCTGAACCAGGAGCATCCTAAGGAGACAAAGCATCATAAAGATTAACAACATGTTTAATAATATGCTTGGCAAAACAATGCTTCTTCCCATTGGCCTTACCCCAGGTATGTTGGAAACCACCTCAAAGGTGACCCCACAGCCAGGTACGGTGCTGCGGGTTGACATCCTTCTGAGAAAGTTGTGGGCAAATCCCTGGCGGCCCGGGTTAACATTGACGCAGATCCTTTTTCTCAGCACCAGCTGCATGTCAGCAGGGTGACTGAGCTGGACCACCACCCGTATGGTCAGATAGACACGCTGCTCAGGATATGATCCCCCTCGACTGAGCTGAGGACACTCATGGACAGTGGAGTCCCAGGATGCCTCTGCTTTAACCTGTGGAGTGAACAGCTCAGTTACTACAAGGGTTTCTAATGAAAAGGCCTCCTTTATGAGAATTACAGGTTTATCCTCACCTCTCCATCGTAGTGTCTGACAATCTGTAGATCAAAAAAGTCATCCTCATCCTCTCCATTCAAGATAGCATCCCAGCCTCCAGCCTCTGGAACTTCAAACTGGTCTTGAGAGCTGAGGTCATCAGCTGGGGAATCAAAGATATTTCAAATTAACTTATATAAAAAGATAAACACTTTGTGAGATTCTGCACAATTTTGCAAATGACTGACTTACGTTTGAGATTGAGGAAGAGGACGGGGATGTGAGTCTCCATGCCAGGCAGAGGAACCCTTTTTAAAAAAAAAAAAAAAAAAAATGTTGCTTAAACCTCTGTGTCTTAAAATGTTATAATGAATGCTAATTTCCAGCTCGATATTTCTGTTCTCAGACAGTAATCCTTTGCAATTGGCCTACATGCACCTCCTCAGTTCAAACAAGATACTTTAGCTCCATTCAAGCCAAGTTATTACAAACTGCAAACAGAAGGTTTGATGAGACTTCTGTGTTTAAACCAGAGTGTGTGCCTTATATGACCATATTAGGGATATCTGCGCTCACTGACATCACAAAGAGCTGTTTAAAATTTTAAAGCGGTTTGATACAGAGCGTTTAAAGCAGTCTGAAGCTGCAGCTTTAGGCTCACAGGGGCTTCAGCTGTTTTCAATAAGAACATCATTTAATGGGCTGTACCATTCAGCAGGTGCTCCAGGAATGCCGCTGCCAGCAGAGGGCACCATTACAGCATTTCTCTCCTCAGTTAGAGTCAAACGCCATTCAAGGAGCTGCGCCTCTCTCTCCATGTCATCTTCTGTTTTTTCTGTACAAAACATGCATGCATTAAACATTTCATTCACCTTACTCCACTCGCAAAGTGTAAATTGCTGTAACTGTGAATTAGGATCAGAAACAGTTGTTAAATACCTGTGCACATCAATATTTTGCATACTAATCTACGTATTTTTACCTGCTTTGCTAACCAGGCTCTGTAGGTGCTGATCAAGGTATTCCTGTCTCTTGGTGAGAGCACCTAACCACTGCCGCCGTAACCGTTCCAGGTCTCTTTCCTGTCCACCAAACAACTCAGTTAATCACTCCATCTTCTTCTTCAAGTCAGCTACTTCAAAGGTAATTTATGACTCAATGAAAGTGTAAATCACACTGTAGACAGAGTGGTCTACCTGATAACTGTCCATCTCATCTGCTTCCTGGTTTGCTGTGGTGTTTCTGATCTCCACACAGCCCACTGATACAGCGAGCACAATCTCTGCGATCAGGGGCATAGTGCCAGAATCCTGAACTGAGCGCACGTCCACCTGGATTCTTCTCGACTGACCCTAAAGGAGCATGAGGAGAAGGTTGAGGAGGATTAAGAAGACAAGACACTAGTTAGAATATTTAGAAGCCCGCTTTTCCAGTTTTCTGATTCAAACAGGTTGACTGTTTTTGTTGTGATGTGTCATCCTCACCTGCCGAAGCTGGAAGATTCCTCCGGTCCGCACATCTCTGGCAGGTACCACTTCCACTGGAACAAAGTCTCCATTCTCGTTTATCTCCAGGATTTGAATCCACAGCTCGAGCTTACGTGTTACCTCACTCCATCTACAAAATCAGACACTGTTTGCACACCTGTGCTCCTTGCAGAACAAGAATCTATATGTACTCTTTCTGTTATATCTACCTGTCTCGTAATGTGCGTGTCTTAGCTTGGATGATGCTGAGGTCCCACAGTGCGGGGTTTCTTCCAGCATCAGCCTGTCTGTGTCCGTACACCTCAATGGCGACTGCCCCTTCTGTAAGGTGCTCGATAAATTCCTCAGTTACGGACACAGCCAGCTCCTACATAAGCCCCCAAAAAACAAGTGCCATTCAGACCAATCCACAACACATTTTCACACAACTAGAAATCAAAATAGACACCGCTCAGGAAAGCTTCTTGATTTGTTGCAAGACTTGAAATTCTCGTCTTCCCTCCCATGTTTACCTTGCAGCTGTCAAACACCACCATGCAGTGTGGGTCCTTGTTGCTGGGTGATGAGGATGACGTGTCAACTTCGGGAGCCACGATGATAGGCTCAGGCTGGTCCCAGAAAGAATACTGACAGAAGACGAAGTTGGACAGGTACTGAGGAAGACCAGTAGCCTGCAGGATTTTAATCTGTGGATGACAAACGGGAAAAATGAGATGCCAACTAAACATACCTAATAGTCCAGGAAGTATTGGGAAGATTCAGATGGTCTGAATGCACTAAATTTTCTGATGAGCTATGAGTCTTACCATGCAGACCAGTTTGCGATCCTGAACTTCAATGTCCTGGTTGTTGTCAGGCTCATCTCCTCCAGCCATGTTATCCTCTAAGCCCCCTCCAACTCTTACCACCTCCACATGCAGGCGACCTGCAACCTAAACACAGCAAGAAAACATCCTTTAGCCTTTAGTATAAGAAAAATACTTTTTTTTTAACGGGGAAAGATGCAAAGCTGTTTTAATAGACTTCATGAATAAAAGTACAGACTTGAAAATGAGAAAAGCATGTCAATTTTTCCCAGAATTTGTTCCTTGTCCCCAAAGACTTCCTGTATCTCTGGCTGTTCTATTCTATAGCTGCTCATTCACCACTCAGATTTCAAATGCAATCATGAAAATCAGCTGAAAGTTTACATCAGCTTCCTGGAGTCAATTTTTGCTATCAATCTTTTAACATTTTACCAACACAATTCCCTGAATATCATGCAAACTTTTACTTTTAAATTCTGATCTCAGTGAAACTCTTCCTGAGTCACAGTGAAAAGCGTAATACCATACCAAGTCTAGAGACTGTTTCTGTAAGTCAGGGCTACTTCTATAAGAAGAAATTAAGGAATTAAACTGGTGACAAATTGTGTTCTACCTCTCCTTTCTGGTTGATGATGGGAACAGCGTACTGCAGTTTGACGTCATAGAAAAGACAGGAAAGGAAGACGTTGGCGACGCCGATCAGACTGTGGTTTTCTTGCTCATCAAAAAACGGGTCCGCTCGGCGTAAATATGGACACATTGCCTGGACAAGGAAAATTTTAATAGGTAGATGTTAGAGATGTGCTTATTATGTGTGACTTCATAAGATTCCCAATAAGTTTACAATGAAGCTATCATGGTGGCAAATGGCTGTTAACTCACCTGGTCGTCTGGATTATTTAAGTGGTAGTCCTGCCATTCCTGGTACAGCTCTCTCATGTCAACCAGACGGTTCTCCATCTTCTCCAAACTCCAGATCTGTTTGCCCCGACCCCGTCTTCGAACCTGGATCGCTGGTTCACTGAGCACTGCATCCCTCTACACACAGACATACTTATAAGCTTTTGGGAACACCAGAGGACAGGTCACCCACATGTAAGGTCTTCATGTTTGTGTTTACGACCTTGCGGTTTGCATTAAGGTTGTCTGATGGGATCTGCAGAGTGACTCGGTACTCTGTGTGACGTTCCAGCTCATCTGCAATGAAACAGGCTTCTTGTACCAGGAGGTTCGCCCTGACTATCTGCTCCCTCAACCTCCGAAGACTCCTCACCAACACAGCCTCCCTGCAGAAGGACAACAGGTGGAAAACAACATGAAGGGAGACAGGCGAACGGATGGATTAGGAAAACCAAGTTGGTATTAATCAGCACATTATGCATATTCCTAAAATTCAAAGAAACTCACCTGTCCTCACTCCACTGCCTCAGTCTGCTCTGAGCACTGCTTGAATGGCTCATCCCTCCTATACTGAGCCTCTCCATGCTGCGATAGTGAGATTGCTGTCCTGGACCTTGCTGCCCAATTGTTGGCCCTCCAGACTGACCTGTGGACAGGCGTTCTGGGTTGAGCTTCTTACGCAACTGCTGGAGCTCCTGCTCGTACATCTGCCTCTGTCGCTCCAAAGCAGACCGCTTCTCCTCTTCGTGCTGCCTCTCCAGAGACTGGAGGACTGCCTGCATGGGGTCTGAATTGACACAACGTTGAGAAGTCAGACAGGAAGTGAAAAAGACATGCTGTTTTCCACAATAGTGTCCTAACACATCTTACCATTGCTGCCCAGGGCTTTCATCATGACCTCTGTCTGGGCAAACTCATACGAGAAGCTGACTTCACTGGACACTTCACTGGCTGTATCACCATCTGCATCCAGCTGTTCACTGCTACCACTGTTCTTCATCACGCCACCTTCACCCTCTTCATCATCTGCAGCCCGAGAGCGCCGCTTAGGCAGGTTGATCCTGAAAGTGAGTTAAATGCATTCATCCATGACTCAAAAATATTTTATGTAACTTTAACAAATAGCCCAAACCGATTGATGGGAGGTTTTTTAAAGACTTAAACTATAAATTAAATAGAAAGAACAGCGGTTACCTAAAGAAGTGGTTGTTTCCCCAGAGGATTCGGTCCCCATGATGGAGTTGCAGAGCACTGGTTACTGGAGAGCCATTAACACACGTCCTGTTTAAAAAAAATGGTGACAATAGTTGGGAGTTGCATTTATATTTTTAAAGAACCTCAAACAGAAGCTGAAGCAACCGACTGAAGAAAACATCTCTTTTGGTAAGAGGACTTTAACCCTGGTGGGGTTAACTACACTATGTTTAGCCTCATCAGCATAGGGCCTGTATAATGTAGCAAGTTCCAAATAACCAGGACATCTTTTTCTTATCTGGCTTTACTTTGTAATCTTACATGTTGGACGTGTATTTGTATTTTATAGCTTATTTAACACCGATGTACCAGCCAGGAACTGCACATACAATTAGGTAGTAGCTAAATCTAGCACAAGGGATTGTTTCTCTCATGAGAATGTTTTTGTGAACGGTCCCTGACAAATACAGAGTAAAACTAAACTTAACTACTCTAACATAAGCAACGCTCACACGAAGGCGTTTATTAACTAAATAAGTCAACCTAATGTTTCCCAGTGTAGTTACAAGTGTGTTCACATAAACTAGACATTTTTGCACAAGGGTGACAAATTGTATATTTTAGAAAAGACAGCTATAACTTTAGTAAAATAAAAAGAAGCCAAATGCATATTACAAGCAGTTTAGCAACATATTTGCTGCAGTCTTACTAGATATAAAGCAGTCAGTGTGAGACAGGAGAAAAAAAAAGTATGTATATAGGTTTGTGTAGCATAAAGATATCCTTATGCAATTTAGAACTCTTTTAGCACCTTTTCTCAACTGATGGTGCCAAACTATTTGAGAGCAACAGGTAAGTAGGCTGACCTCTAAATTCCACATAAAGGTCAACCAGAAAAAGGACTATGTGTTTCTGTAGCCAGCAGGAAGGGGGGAAAAAAGAATCAGGATATAAATTTCACTCCACTGGTCACAAGTTAATAAGGGAAAAAATACAAGGTTTAGAATGATTGCTGAAAGCTACTGACTCTCTCTCTGTGCACTGAGGCTGGTGAGAGAAGCCAGCTGGCCAGTGGGCAGTGGTTTTGTGTGTGCTGATCTCTTATCTTGAATATAACCTGCTGAGAAATAAACCACCTTTAGAACTTTAAAAACCCTAATTTTAATCCAAAGTTACCCAATTAAAACCTTGCAGTGTAATTCTCTGAACTTTGTTTGTGTTACGTTTGCGTTCCTTACCTAGCGTTGCGGTAGGGGGCGAGAATCACAGCTGCCTCTGCTGTGATGTCAATGACACAGTGCTCTGCCTGGATACCCATCCCGCACAGCTGAATGTCCTGGGAGTCTGCTGAGCCCACTTTTGTGTGTTCCTGAGATGTTCAACATGTTACAATCAGCTGACCCAAACAAAAGGGGAATAAAGAGCCTGTCTAGAGGAACACATCACAAATCTATGGGATGTTCCAGTTATAATTACAATCACAACTGATCTAAATTTTACTCCTTAAACTTTATCTGTTCTAATCGAGCCCATCAAACAGCAACATTATTATGTTTCCATAACAGCTGGTTGACTTTCAGGTTTCGTATAAATGAATGAAATTTCCTCTTAAGCGTTTTCAAAACCCAGTGCAAGTCACATGACAACTGGTTCTTCTTCAGCTTGCTATTAAGAAAAATGAAACTTCAGTTTCTATGATTCAAACTGTGTAAAAAAAAAAAAAAAATCTCTTACACATCTGATCAAATTTAGTTTTTAGAGGACAAAGACTGATCGCTCATTAAGCTGCAGTTACACAACTCTGGTTTAAAAAAAAAAAAAAGTCAGGAATAATACTTTAGAAGGCATTAGGTAAAGCATGATGGGGACTCTGTATGTGTCTGTGTGTTCATGCAAACCTTCAGGTAGTACACAAGCAGTTCATTGAGTGCAGGATCAGCATTAAGGTTGACAAGAAAACTCTTATCGTCTCCAACTTTAATCCCTGAAGACTGAAGAGAAATACCCAGACTCTCCAGCTGCTTCTGACGCTCCTGCGCACGCACACACACAAAAAACATCAGACTTTCAGCTTTTAAAGTATCTGAATGATGCAGTTTGAGAAAATAAAGACACTGTGCACTGTAATTATTACACTGAATAAAAACAAAATCAATTACATTTGATGTTTCTTGTGCGTCTCACCTGTGCAATCTCCTCAGTTTTGCGAAGCTTCTCCTCCCACGTGACCGTCATCTCTTGAATCAACTTTTCGGACTCCTCCAGACGGTCTTTGAGCTCTGGAGCTTTCAAAGACTGGCAATAATAAAGCACATGACAAGCAGGTGAGGCAAATACTTCAACACGGTGATTGCTTAGATTGTGAAGATCTCTCACCTCTGCCTGTGTCAGTTGCACTCGTAGTTTTTCGACTTCCTCTCGGAGCTCCCTGATGATGCGAGCGTTGGGATCTTCATTAACAACAGCATGGTTAACTATGTTCTTTGCTCGGTCGGCATAACGTAGTGTCGACAGCGTCTCCTCGTAGTTGTCTGCCGCTGGACTCACAGTAGCAACCATTGCTGTCCGACTGTTACCTCCCAGGCAGTCCTGGAGAATTCATAAGGGGGGAAAAAAAGAAAAAAGTAAAATATAGAGGAAGAAATGCTATAAAATGTTTTTTGCTCAGGTGGTCGTTTATGTTTATCATACCTTCAGTAACCATGTCAAAACAGAGTCTCTGTAAGGAACAAACTTGGTCTTGTTCTTGGCAGTTCCTTGTTCAGCCAGAGCTGAGATCACTAGACCCAGAGTAGTGAGGGACCTTGCAAACACAAAGAGAAGAGACCAGCTGATGGACTGATAGCAATCATGTAGCTCTGTCTGCTTGTGTGTTGAGATACTTTAACGTCAGGCTTGAATGACCTTGGAAGAAATATAACCTTTATTGGGAAAACATTTAAAAAACTGTTTATGTACTGTTTCTCTGTATCCATGTTTTAATTGCTTCATTACTTGTTGATGTTGCTTCCTTCCTTCAGGCGCTCTCCTGCTGCTCCAGTCTTTGCTGCTCGCTCACTTCCAGCCAAGTCTACTAGGCTCAGCCGACTCACCTTTTCCCCACTCGTCTACAGAGATACAGAAAGAGCAAAAAGGAAAATAAAGTCTGATTACTGTCCCATTTGTTGCTGCATCCATGATGCCTTATGCACTAGAGATGCTCTAGCAGGGTAGTGCAACCTGCGTTGGTGTTTCTGTCCACTGTAAAATGTATTTGTAAATGTATTTTTTTCCCTCCTTTCTCTGACTTTCCACTGATGTTTTTTTCCCCAGTGTAACAAGCAATGGAACAAAAAGCCATGGTGTTCCTAGGCTGGTTTAAAACATATCCAGGGGTTGCAGTAAAGATGATTAGGCACATCTGAATTAACTTCACTTACTTCAGAAAGCCGTAACACTGACCCACAAGGGGTCTGACAAATCTCTAATAACCCTTAAGGAGGCTGATTTTTAAGCAGCTACTACCTGAACACATTTCTGTATGCTTTGAAGTTTAACTGAGCAATATCCATTCTTGTCTTCTATACTTCTGATTCTTGTAATTCTACCAACCAGAGCACACCGTTATCTTTCAGTGTCTTGATGACAGTTTCCCTCTGTGTCTTCCCAAGGGCTGTTGAAGAGGTGGATATCACATCTCTATCTGTATGCCACATCCACTCCTGATTGTGACAGGTCAGCAGCTGACAAGGCTGAATCTAACACCTGATCAACACCTGCTGACAAGCCAAAGCAGCCCATCAGCTAAATATCAGCAGATGCAGTCCTCCGTGTGTGTCAACTGTGCACTTGTCAAGCCACCTTGCTTTTCTGCACACATCAATGTTTTAACAAAGTCGCATACAATGTCATGCAATTACTGATCAGCTAAGCGGCTGATGATCTGTGGTGTGACATGTCTGAACTTTACCAGGTGTTCTTATGTCGAGCCTCCAAAAGGTTTTGGCTGAATGTGCACACAGATACAATGATAATGGTGTTCTTGTAAAAGAACTGGTTCACTCCCACTCCCACATAACTCCATAAATCTCTATCAAGTCCACACTGCTCCACTTCAGTTGCAGCCTTGCAGACTCAACAAGCCAACTTCACAAGATGAGACTACCTGCTCCCTTACCAGAAGAGTAACCCCAGTACACAAAACGCCAAATTCATTACATGATTCACACTGTGCTACGGGTGAAGCCGAATATACTTAACCTTCTACTGCTTTAGTTTCAGTGTTGTGACCTTTAGGCTCTTCTGGACTGCAAAGAAACATTTCAGCAAACACCATCCTAACTATTCTTTGACATCACTGGTTTTAATTAAAACAAAAACAAGCTCTTTCTTTTTAGTGTATATTCATCATTTTTCTGATTCTAAACTTTCATCAAAATCTTTACAAGTTGTTCAACATTTCAACAAGCTTGACTATTGAGACTTAAAGCTGACCTACTATGAGGATTTTTAGCTTTTATTCTTGGAGATTTATTGAATCTGGTTCGCCTACTGTCTGAAACAAGCGACTTTAGCATCCTTTAAGCCAGCGGTCCCCAACCTTCTTTACACCACGGACCGCTTTATATCCGACAATATTTTCACAGACCAGTCTTTAAGGTGTCGCGGATAAATACAACAAACTAAAACCAGTACTGGTGCCAAAAAAAACAGAAGATTTATTTATAACATAGAGGAAAAGACCCAGGGTTAACAGAATTAATGATTAAAAAAAGATTAAAAAAAAAATAATGCTAAAAAACAATAGCAACCTTGAAAACCATAAATTTCACACCCAAGCCTCAACTCTCGCGGCCCGGTACCAAACGACTCACGGACCAGTACCGGTCCGTGGCCTGGGGGTTGGGGACCGTTGCTTTAAGCCATTAGAAGCAACTTAGAAGCTGAAAAACAAAAAAACTGATGCTCTATATATCTGACAGTATTACCAATATTGTTATTTGTGTTTCTGTCTTTTCTGAATGGCTGACTCTCAAAAAAACAAAAAGCAAAAAACAAAAAAAAAAAAAAAAAAAACCACACCCCCCCTTCCCCCCCCAAAAAACAAAAGAAAAACCAAGAACAAAAAACAACCAAAGTCTGAACAACAGGCCATAGTTAAGGGGTGGGCAACTCCAGACCTCAAGGGCCAGTGTCCTGCAGGTTTTAGATCTCACCCTGGGTCAACACACCTGAATCAAATGATTAGTTCATTACCAGGCGTCTGGAGAACTTCAAGCCATTTAAATCAGCTGTGTTGGATCAATGACATCCAAAACCTGCAGGACACCAGCCCTTGAGGCCTGGAGTTGCCCACCCCTGCCGTAGGGGCTGCTATGCTCACTGGCCAAGCTGCACCTGAGCAGGAAAAAACCCTCTGAAACAGAGTTTAGGGCAATCTGAAATCTCGGCTAAGAAGGATTTCGAGCATATAAGGTGATGTCATGGTTAGAAATACAACCATGACTAATATGAGAATACACTATTGTAACCTATTTTATCAGGATATATAAATGAAAGAAAATAAGGAAAATCATAATAAGCTAACTTTAGCCATGTGTTCTGTTACATGTTTTTCTTTTATTACATACAGAAAAGCTTTTCTACATTTTTTCTACACTACATTTCGCAGCAGTTTGTTTGTAGTTGTGAGAATGTGTATGTGTTACTATAAAATAAACATTTGTTAAAGGGGTTTTCATTGTGCTTGGAAAGCAAAGCAACCTTATCTTGAGAAGCGGATAAGTTCAATCTTAAATCCTAAACAGCTGCATTGCATTGTCACCTTGAAATCTCAGGTAAAGTAAACTCAAACTTGAATTCTGAAAAGACTCGCTTATGAGATAAAGCTCACCCTCAGGGACAAGTGATACAGATCAGCCTCACACCAGCACAAGTGTAGATCCCCCAGGACTGAGCAAATTGTTAAACAAACAAGAGATGTTTATCCGTAACAGAAAACTAGACCTTTTTTAAATAATGCCCTGAACTGAGAAGTCATGTTAGACAGCTACAGAGAGCGGGGAGGCAAAGCTGATGACTGAATAGCACTACCACATGAGAAGCCACAACCTTTTGTAATTCAGTAATTTTAGCTCCTTACTACATCATCAACGATAGGATCTGTAGCCCGGAAATATAAGACTTGGAGATAAACACAAAAGTCTACAGTACCCTGACACTTTTGTCTTGTTCGAGTCTTAACATCTAACTAGCTATTCGAATAGTAAAAAGAGGAAAATACTTTATTATTAAAGCAGGGGAGTTGATACTCGAGTCAGTAACAAATGTAATGCTGTAATGTGTCTGCTCATAAAACGAGTGTCGGGGCATCAACACACAGATACACATGGTAAGAAATAGGGTCAACTCTGCAGTGCAGAAAACAACTGCTGGAATACATTTTAAAAACTCTGCATTATACTACACAGCCTGCAAAGTGTTTTATGACACAGAGAAACATCAGGAAACCATTGAGATATAGATAGGTACACATGGCCAAAGCGCAAACAAATTTGACCTTTGAGTTGAAAGCGTGGCTGAAAAGTCCAAACAGGACAGGATACTGAAAGGAAAACCAGTGACAAGATTCTGAGTGTCAGAATGACTCATCCAGCAACAGGTGATTCTGCTACTTGTCAAAGGTTGCCTCTTATTAACCTGCCCCCAACACAGGCTGCGTCATTTGAGGGCGGAGATGAGCTCCAATTCAAAGATCAACGGTCATTATTTCTTTAAAACTGGGGACAGATTATATATTTAGATTGAAGAAACTTGGAAGCTTAAATACGTGTTGAATATTGAAGTTGACTACCTTAAATGGTGTTCTCAGGGTCTCAGAAATACTGCTTACCACTGCCTAACAGGGTTTCAGTGCCATGAAACGAGTCCAACTCCCTAATGACTAATGCTCTGCTAGTCAGAGGATCACAAAGCAACCTAAATATTGCAGTCAGCACGGCAAAAACAGAAATAAAATTACTCAAATTGCACTGAATGGTCAAAATTGTGTTCTTTGGAATAACACAAACCAGTAGAGATTTTTAATCTGATGTTCACTTATGACGGGATAATAAAATAAAATATAGTGTTAAAAGTAGCAGAAGGATGTGTCAGCTAAGTGATTCACTCACTGACTACACAGTTTATGCGTTTGCTGTCTGTTAGACTTTGTTCAGCTTTATGAACCTACCGGCGAATTGTCTGGCCAACTCAGTGACTGACTCTGGGCGTGACTTGAAAGGAGAGCAGGCTGTATCAACTGACAAACTCACAGTCATGTCTGTGAATTATTAACAGGACTTGCTGGTAGCAACTCTAGCTGGAAATAAGAGCAAGGATCAGGAGAGACTAAGTGGGTCAGTCAGGACGGAGAATTAGTCATTTAAGTCTTTTCTTAAGAGTGCCTGGTCACATGGCGGAGCTGACATCATCCCTTTTTTCTTGTGGTTTAGATATTATTAAAAATAGCAGAAACATTATCGCACCCCAAAAAAGTTCAGCAATCATAATGATTAAAAAGTAAAGTCTCAATCATTTCTAAAGCTTTAGATTTCTCGTGCCCAGCAAATCCTTGCAGGCCTTTTGAAGAAAATCTATGTGTGATTGATGTGGCTAGACAGTGTAGAGCATATTTGAGAGCTTAGAAGTGGGTGGATGATGCAGCAGCTTGATGGTGCAGGGATGAGATTATGGCATGGGGACTGAGGGAACATGGTTTGAATCCAAGTTGGAACAGATGTTAACTAGTCATCTTTATAAATAACAGACCAGTCTTGTGTGAGCATGTGTGTGTTTGTGTTGTTATATCTTACCCCAGACTTTAAATCTTTGAGTGTGTGTGTGAGAATAATGTTGAAGACTGCATGCGATCGACTGCTCTCCTCATTCATGTTGGTAGCAGCGACAGTGCGTGACTTATTGCCCTCTGACATTAGAGACTCGATGTCCTGAAGGAAGAAGACACAATAAACAAACAATACAATCATTTTCATAGTTTCCCATTTTGCTTTAATTTCAAAAACAGATTACATGACAGTATTTTACTAAAAAAAGAAAATGCTAAAATATTTTGCCATGCCTTCATAAAAACCACTATTTTGTCACATAAAAGAGAAAATGTGACAAGCATCATTACAAAGCTCAAACTCCAACCTTTAATACTTATGCAGCGACAAGTTCATGAGTGAGGATGGATGGATGCAGAGATACTGTAACCATGACATTTAGCTGTAAATTATAAAATTGTTTGTTTCACTTTTATTTGAACGTGCTTTACCTCACTCCAAAGAATAGTTGTCAACATGGCCATAAATTACACGGCACATTCTTCGCCTATTTTTATATTTTATAATGATTATAATTTATAACTAGTGCGGTTGAATCGCCTGAAAATCACAATATAAAAAAACAAAATGTTATCACCATTTTTGATTTGGTTGGTGAGACTACTAACATTTGGTACTTCAAGTGATATAAATACTCAAAGAGGACGGTGAGAGGAAATGGCAGCAAGAAACTCTGTTCAGGTGTCACAGAAAATCTGAAGAACTGATCAGACAGGATGTGTGGTGCAGTGCTGCATGGTGGATGTTTGGGGTAGTAGGTGACATAAATGCATGAAAGGTTTTTTTGTTCAGTGAATTGTTTTTACCTTGTAGCTGGCCACTGCTAGTCGAGACAGGCCATCCACGTATGGACCCAAAACTTTATGTTCTCTCACCCGCAGTGTTTGCCTACCCCTGGGCATAGAAGAAAATGAGGTTTAAAACAAAGACACGCAACATGGTCACTCGTGACCAATTGCATCCAATGCTTGAACAATGATGTCCAAGCAGGGGAGGCAGTAGAGGCTAGGCTTGCTCTGGTAACCAATAGAAGTCCACAGTGCACAGTTCACACTTTGTGAGCACTTGGCTCTCTGACCCCAATTCTAACTTGCCGCAGATCTAAGAACTTCATCATTATCTGACCCACAGCAGAGCGCATATGGCAGTCAGATGGTCTGCTAGTCTTTGGTCCGTTTTATTGAGGTTAAAAGTCATGCAGTGAGTGAAGGTCAAAGGTTATAGTGTCTGGGACAGCAGGCACAGGCCTGGGGTCCTGATTTACAGCTGACCTGCTGGACACGAACCGGACAAAAACAGTGACTGCAGGGCAGAATGCTAATCTTTTTATGCACTGACCACAGCAGCTGGTGGATCCAGAACAAATGACAGACTTTCACTGATTTATCAGCTAATCTGAGTTTATGTTAGAGCAGAGCTGCAAGCTGGTCATTAACCAGAAAAGTAGACTTACAGCAGATGTATTTTAGTTTATTGGAATTGTCATTATCATTATTAATGTGCATTTTTTTTTTCAAATTATTTGGAAATAAAACATTTAGCGTCTAAAATATTAGAAATATAAAACATTTTCTATGAATGTCTCTCCAAGAACAATTTCAGGGGTTGTGCCTGACATGCAGGTCAAACTCTCCAGATATTCAATATACAATAAAGTCAAATGCAGAATATCTTCAATCATTTTTGCTTGAAGAATGCCTTGAACAATTCTACACTTTCAAAACAGTTTCACATGCATTTTCTAAGAATCAACTTATTAATAAACTGAACAATAAATTTAAATGTGTTCTTATTCTTCAGTGCCTGTGTTTACAGTCTTTTAAATATGTAAAAATGAGTTTGCATTTGAAAATACACCGAAGACTGATGTAATTCTACACCTGCTGGTGCTGTTACAACCTTTGTGGGTTTTACAGTGAGTCAGCTCTAAGATGCTGAATCTAGTTTAATAGGATACTAATATTAGAAAGGCAGAATCTGCATTATAAGGATATGAGACGAAAGACAAACGTTCTGTAAATCTAATACTCTATTGATTTAAATTTGGCTCGTGGAAGGGAACTCAACCAAAGGCAACTACTGAATTGTTTAGGATTTATCAGAGCTGCCACACCTTTCAAATGAAAAACGAAACCACCCACACATTTGTAAAAGGGCTGATTGAGGAATGAAATCATACCCTTTGGGATCGAGCAGATCTCGGACCTTCTCATTGTAGATCTCCATGTAGGAAACCTCAACAGTGAAACTCTCCTCCTCCCGCTGTTCCTTCTGTGTCCGTTCAAACAAAGCACTGCACAGTCGAGGTATCAGCCCTGGCTGATCCACTGAGCCCATCATAGTGTACGACTTTCCCGAGCCTGCAAACACGGAGACAAATACTCCAGTTTCAGGAGACTGACTGCAGCAGGTATAGTTAAATGTAAAATAATTTCTTGTCTTTGTGGCAGCTGATACAAAACACTGCCACTAACACACAAAGTAATGATGGTACGATTGTGAAATTATTAAAGAATGATTTCACCTGACAAACAAGTAAAAGGTTCGACTCATTATGACTCATGTGTAGACAGTGGATCAATTTATGAGCTCCAACTTGCTGTCGCAGGGTCAAGATTATATGTAAAGTAAGAGTATGATAAGCGCTCTACACATTATGGGACATGAGATATCTGAAACATGTGCATGTATTTTAACTTCTGTGTCTTATTTGTACTGAAGAAATGCAAGTCGGTACAAGTGGTAGTCCACAAAGACACTCCTAAAAAAGCTTTAAGGCAATAAAATATAGATAGAAATCTGCCACATACTGTAACCAACCCCTGTTGTTAAGTTAGACGCTCTGTCATAAAATAAGATTCACCATAAATATGTGAGTTGTCCAAGTGTAAATTACCAGTTTGTCCATAGGCAAATATACAGGCATTGTAGCCCTGGAAGGCATTGTGGAGAAGACTTTCCCCAAGGCACTGGAACACCACCTCCTGACCTGCAGTTAAGTGGCACAAACAGACATAGTCTGTATAACTGAAGTATATATTTAGTTAACACATCTGGTAGTGATATTTTAATGCAATTTCTTTTTGAATGATTAAAATAAAAATTTACATACCTGCAAATTTTTCCTTATCTGTCTCATCCATGGACCAGAAACAATAATCATAGGCAAAAACCTGTAAACACACAGACAAAACAGCACCACCATGACATGTTATACTGGAATATGTAGTCGCACAAGCCACCACAGTAAAAAAAAAGGTGTATATTGTGTTTTTAAATGCTCAAATGCTCAAATTGTGTAATCATAGCGACCATCAAGTCTCAAACGACGATAAAAATAATCACACACAGCAAAGAGAACCAGTGGGAAAAAACATTCAGTTTCTAGGGAACAAGTATTGCCTCAGGATTAAAATAAAGGTTCATAAATTAAACAAACCATTTTGGCAATAATGGTTTTACAAATCATTACTTTATATCGCTGCCTGTATGGTTGCACACAGCTCAGAAACTGAGCTGAAGTAGTACAGCGGTGCCTTTGTTTAAAACAGATGATTCACAACCATGGAATTAGTGTTGAAAATGTCTGTGTGTGTATTTGTGTGCCGTTACCTTGGACTGACTCCTGATGATGTTGGGAGGATCGAGGTCAACGGGAACATGTGGAAAGACAGAAAGACGGCATTTAGTGCAAATTAAAAGGATGCAGTAGGATGGGCTTTCAAGGCTAATTTTGACCCTAATGTGTAGCATGCAGAGATAAAAAGAGAAAGAAATTTATATGTGGGTGGACAGACAGGCAGACTGGATTAATGTCATTTGCTTTAGGCTTTCCTTGTTTTAACATTTACTTTAAAACATAGCCATTGTTGTAGTTGTTTACAGCTTCTGTGTCACATGTCAAAAACAGCCTCTCGGGGGATTTGGGTGTGTATCTGGGTGTTAGGGTGGGCGCTGCATTCATCTCTGAGGGCGTAGTAAATCGTTTCAGGAATGCGTGTGTGAGAATAGCACTAGATGTGTGAGATAGAGGGGTACTGAAGCTGGCAGTGTGTTAACCTTTAAAAAGAAGTGGAACAGCTCTGTATATCTGTGCAAGCTTTTACAGAAAAACTAAGGAAATATATACACAAGCAGCCTCAGTCATACACACGACAGACATCATGAGCTTTTAGCCAACAGCTATGTCCTTCAAAATGGTTTCCTCCAGTAAACAGACGGGAACTCCATCTGGTTTTCTCTGCATATGAGGAAATGTCAGTACAGGCTAACCTAATTTTAAATAGTATGTGCTGAAAATGAATTATAAGCTCTTAAGCTGGCAAATCAATAACTAAGTTACAGAAGCATAAACATTTGACATCAACCTGCTCCACAGATTATAAGAAATACATAAATTAGAGCATGGTTTTACATTATTATATGCATGAAGTAAATGAGTATGTGTCTGTAAATATGTGCAGACACATATGTGATTCCAGTTTCCACATCTTGGAGTAAAAGTGGACTGTTCAATCAATTCAATAATTCTTACTTCCCACAAAAAACACAACAAAATGTGTGAATCTGAGTGTGCAGAGAAAACCAACCATTTTAGAATTGTCATTACAATATGAAGTATGACTGAATACTGGTAAATCAAGCCTGGTGTAAGGTTACTAGCAGCCAGCTTAACTGTCAAATCTCCTAAGGTGCTTAAGCACAATAATTATGCAAGTTCACTTCAGGCCACATTTTACAAGATGGATCATTTAAACTTAGGCAAGCGATCGCATTTGACACATTTGCTGAATTGGTGCCAAGACGCCGTTATTACTTAGTGAGAAAGAAAAAGAGCTGGAGGCCATACACAAAACATTCTACTGCAGCAACTCAACTGGATTTTCTACTCTGGAGGAATCGCAATCATTTTGTTTTATATGGTTTACTCACACCCGTTCTAAGTGCCAATCTCTTTTGATCAGCATTGCACTTCACGCTGCATTCCTATTGGTTTGTTAGTCGACACGGGTCAAACCAGGGCTCACAGCATGAGACAGTCATCCTAAATTTGACACTGTCTGAATTTTGTCCCAGGATTTATCTATTAAAATGTCCTACCCTGAACCTCTCACAGTGCTACACAGGACTACCAATCTGTGGTTAGGGTCAGGCCGAACTCTCAAAGCATACTAGTGTGACCCAGGCCTGCAGATTCTTTTCAAGATCAAGATTGTTCAGTGTGAAGCCACAAGCACTGATTAGATTGGTGTTCCCTGAGAGAGGGAGTCTCTGGCAGTGCCTGTGACTCCTTCTACCATAGTTCATATTCACTTCAAACGCAATAAGGTTTTGTCTGTTGTCCTTTATTCTATTCATCCTAACTCTCCTCTCCTGTCACCTTCTTCCTCCATTAGTGCAGTGGTGGTGCTGCCCAAAGGGTGAGGGCAGCTGTCAGCCAAAGAGCTGCATCAAGTCAGATCATCATCTGACTCGATGGCTTGAGGAAAGAGATTTCTAGCGGTTTAAAAACCCACACTCAGAAATACTTCTGCCACCAAGGCCTACAACCTTTCACCGGCTTCCTTCTAAAACACATTACTGTACAGCTTAACATTCGGCAATGAAAACCTTGCTTAACCGAACTGTTCCCATTAGCATTAATCCTTTGTCTAAATATCTGAAACACATTTAGGCCCTCATAAAGATGGCATCACGAGAAAACACACTTGCACAAAGACATCCTCACACCTGTTTCCTTTTACCCATGCACATTCTTTATAAACCACTATAGCTGCAGTTCTTGCACAAACCGGCCAGCAATCTGTAACACTTCATATTTCACAGACGTTCCACTGCTGATGTGTTGCATTCAGAGAGCAGATGCACGCAGACCGATTCCTATCTGCTGTGTAATTGATACCAGTAGCTATTCTTCAATAAGTATCCAATCAGGACTTCCTACAAATGTTTTAGAGGGTTTTGTCAATGCTAAAAAGTGAAGTTTATTTAAGTTCCCAAGTTAAAATTCATTAATAACATTTACTCTCTTAAAGCACAAAAAAGGGGATGAGGTAGGAGTAATTTTATACACTATAGTTGTCATCCACACCCTTATTTTCAGATTTTTATTTTTTTTAAATCCTATTCTTGGGGGCTTTTCAGAAGTCTCCCTGCAGATGCATCTCCAATTCAAGGATGAAGCTAACTTGACAGGTTTTGACATACACAGTGATGACAGCTGTCACAATTGCTTCAAAGGCTGCTGGCAAGAAGGGTCACCCATGTTTTGCGTGATATGAAGCTAGGGACCCCCCCTGACCAATGAGCGAGGAGAATGAGACGGTCAGGAGAGCTGTGAACCCGCCTCGTGCACTTCTATTAGTCCCTCCCTGCTTCGGCCTACTCCTCTGCTCTGATCGCCGTCATTTAAAAAAATAACTTAATGCATGGCTGCTTTCCCCCCCCCTCTCTCTCTCTTCTGTTCTTGCATTCCTGCTTTCTCTCTCTCTCTCTCTCACTATCTCTCTCTCTCTCGGACTGTACCATCCATGGCGATGTAGGGAGGAACAGGAGTGGATGATGGAAAGAAGGCTGAAGGTAGCCAAGGGGTTTAAGGAGGAAAGAGCCTGAGTCTGAGACTGGAATGTTAAGCTGAAGCACAAAGAGCATAAGAGCAACACGGCACATACTGATGGCACATGACAACAGTTTTAGTACAGTTTACACAGGTTGGTAGGTTATAGAACAATTGGCCCTCACATGGTGTGTAAATGATTAAATGACCTGAATTTATCCTCCTATATTAACAAACTGTACTCTCCAGACAGCATACAATGTTTTATACATAGCACATTTTAAACCTCTGCACATTCACTGTATATGTGCAACAGCAACCTGCTATTCTTCCGATGAGCAAAAGTCAAATAATATAGAGAGTCTGCTTTTTCTGTCCTAGTTCTTACTGCTCGATGTTCTGAATGAGTAATTAATTAACCAGTTAGATGTATCAAGTCCCCCCCCCAAAAAAAATAAAGCCAGAAAAAATCCTTCTGAAAATGTATACATTCAAGACTCACTGTAGTTTAAGTGTGTCTGCAGTGATCATGTAAGTACTGCTGACATTAAGCCCCAAACCAAATTGAAGCCCAAGTAAATCTAGTTCAGTTTCTCAATCCCTGTGATGCACTTTCAGCGGAGTTCTGGATGGTTACTTTCCCTGCCTGCATTCAACCCTTTGCAGCAATATGACAGAAAACTTGACCTACAAAATATAAATAGATTGCATCATTTGTATTATCAGGCAACTGAACAGTAGAGCAATTTGTACACAAATAAGACAGACCAAGCTGTTTATGCGGCTTGGCTTTGATATGAACACTGAAATTAAGGCTGCAGATTTTTTTTTTTTAAGTTCCACCATCTCATACACTCAGGGTTAGTTTACCACTACTACTAAAATCCACAGCTGGGAGAGGATATAGTAAAGGTGGCAGTGACTATCGCAGCCTATTTATATATTTGTGCGATCAGCCAGTGCTCTCCTGCTTCCCTCTGGTGCTAAGCAGGTAAAGTATGCTCAATTTATTGATGTGCTTACATTTAAGCTCTCTTCTTATCGCTGCACTACAGGCCAAACAAAGTCCATTTATCTCCAAGATGTTCATGGAAAAGTCAAATATTCAATCGACTGCTCACAGTACACCAAAACAATTCAATTTCTCACACATTTTAATTTTAGTTTTTATGGCTGTCACTTTCAGACAACAAAACTTATGGATTAAAGATTGCTGTGGACCCAACTCTGTATTCTCTTCTCAAATATTAAAGCTAAAAGCAAATGAACGTGTTAGCTTGGACTTCGCTGTTATTGGTTAAATCCTATCTGACATTCGGATAAAAGATCAGCTCGACCCAAATTCAAAAGCTGATGGAATACTGGTCACAATGTACTTATTTTTGCACTGATGTATTCTGTTTTTATATTACATGTGACAACAGGAGCTAGCAGGAGAGCTAATGTAGGAAGCTAACAGTGAAGAAGAAACAGTTTGGAGGTATTTAACACCACCTTTACCAACACCTTTTGTTTGTGTGTTTGGTAAAGGTTTTCATTTAACTGCAAAAGATGACTAAAATGATCTGATAGGAATGTAAATCTCCAATGAGATGAAGCTTTGACCTCAATTTTTTATTTTTTTTTTAAATCTCTTAATAGTCTTGCCCCTTGTTATTTCTCTGAGTTGCTTCACCCTTGCACACCATCCCATGCTCTTAGTTCAGCTAACTAGATGCTTTTGACTGTCCCAAAGATATTTTATACATCCAGAGGAGACAGTCTTTGCAGTTTTGGCTCCTAAGATATGGAATGCCCTGCCATTGGAGGTCAGACAGGTTCCATCTCTTGCTGCTTTTAAAACTTATTGAAAAACACATCTTTTCTCCTTGGCTTTCAACCAAGAGTAAGTTGTTATCCATCTTAAATTTTTACCCTTAGTATGTACCGTTACCATTTCAAATGTTTGGCCATCTTCTATGAATTAAGTTATAGCTGATTAATTGTTACATTGACACTTTGGTCAGTTGTTATGTTGTTTTTAAAGCGCTTTGGAAATAAAGTGATGATGATGAACATTTCAACATTTT